CAACAAAAGCTTTAAATTACATGTAGGCCAACATGTAATGAATGAAAAACAAAAACCCAACCTAGACCGATTACACAATACCATACTTGATGGACACGACAATACATGTACAGCTGAAAAGAGCACACTGGGGCTGTATGGTACATGTAATAACGAATGATGCACATTTAATAAATTTATGTATTTGTAAAGCTTATTTAAAGAAGCAATGCATTCAGTGTTGAATTCTGGTCTGCATGAAACTCTAAGATATGTGTTCCCAATACACATATTGCTGTATTAACATTTTCATATCTCTGTAATTAGTATTAGCTTTTTTTCCTTAATGACTATCAACAGCTGGCACATCTTTTGACTTTATCTCAATATTGACCCAATCTAAGGGCATGGAATTTTGAATGTAGATAATTTATCTTAAAGGGGCTAAATTACTTAGAATAAAATAGAGTACCGGTATTGAAGCGAGTTGATCAGTGATCAGGAAAGTTGTAGATATTAGTGAGATTAGATATTGAAATCGGGATGATATGTTGTGTTATTACAGTTAGTGATTGGGAAAGCTGTATCTGATTAAATTTTTGTTTTGAAAGATTAAGTAGAAGTAGGCTAGGCGTATTTACTAACACTTATTTTATATAAACACTGCAATCAATATAAATAAGATCAATATATATACTGTACTTAAAGGACATTTATTTTGGTTAAAATTTTGGTCATAAGATTAAGTTTATACAGTCTTTTACTGCTACTACTACTAATACTACATCTGTAGGATTAATTCTTGAATTTTAAAGGATAACTACATATTATAATCTATATAATTTGAAATACCTTGGTGCTTATAATAATCAAAATTAATTGCTTTTTTTAAAAAGTATTACATGTAAAGAGAAGACAGATGGACACATCCCATTAATTTAATTACATGCCTGACAGATTTACAATGATATTATAGCTTCCAGCTAAATGTGGAAACACAGACAAAATCTCAACAGGTAGTTGTATTGGTGATGTATGTTCATAGGTCATCAAGCTAAATACCTAGTAACTGATAGTCAAGTCTTTTGATATGTTGATACACTTGTTTACATACATTTAGTATTTGAACTTCCTAGTGGTTTACATACAGTACTATGTACATGAATGTACAGTAGTGTAGGCCTACTATATACAAATGTATACTGGTACAAAACTTGCTCACATGGACATGTATCAGGGTATGTAATCAGTCATGCACATAGGAATTTAATGTATTGTTTTGGTTGGCTACATTCTGCCCTATTGAATTAAAATAAATTGTACATGACAATGGCTCTCCAAATTGGACAAACTGATGATTTTTGATCAAAACAATTCTTGTCTTGTGGTTTTAGTAAAATATTGAAAAGCTGCATCTTTTTCAATTATAAATTTGACAATTTTCCAATATTTTATTTTTTTAGACTTTGAGTAATGTTATTTTATTGATTGAAAAAAGACTTATCTTTGTATCATTTTTGGCCGAAAAATGAACCTGCATAACTTTACCAGATAGTGCCCGATCAATAATCAGTTAAGTTTGCTAAGAACTAAAATGTTTACATCAACTGATCTCAGTGTATTATTCATCATCACACCTAATTAATAATTATCGCACCCCCCCCCCTCCCCTGCCCCAGTTCGTATGACTATGGTGAATAGAGTAATGTACCTGTAGATCGTCACAAGTAGGAATAAATTGAGATGATTCTAAACTGCTTCTTCCTGTAAACAAGACTTGAGTATGGCAAAATGGATTTTTGATATCTATACAACTAAATACTAGCGGTTGCCAGGCAAAGATACGCCCACATTTTGCAAGGGATGGATAGAGAACAAGCTATCCAGAGATTTTATTGCTTTTTATAATCTCCGAGTAGACTGGTTGAGTTCGAATTCAGTGAAAATTAGACCAAATCTGCCGGACGAAATGGCCGCTCCCTGTAAGCAAATAGTGTATACAAGGTTGCGGAACCTGTAGAGGTCACAATTTGAACCGATTTTGGTGAAACTTAAAACATGTGTTTATATTCCAACCCTCTCGGTTCCTGTCAATATTTGTGCATATTGGACCATAACTTCCTGGATTATGGCCCCTGATTGTACAAAAAAAACGTAATTTTAGTTTGTGGACCCTCTAGAAGTCACAATTTTTATCTGATTTTAAAAATTGTTTAAATAGCCGCTGCTTGAATGCAAATAGCATTAAAGTATGTAATACTTTTTATCCAATTTTGATGAAAATAAAAATTAATATATGTTTATATCCCAAAGATCTTGGTTCCTTTCGATATTCACGCACATTGGACCGTAATTTCCTGGATTATAGCCCCTGAATGTATGAAAAATCGTGTTTTTCGCTTGTTGCTTCTCTTGAGGTCACAATTTTTATACGCCCACATTGAAATGTGGTCGTATATTGTCGTCGCCCCCGTCCGTCCGTCGTCCACAATTGCTTGTGGACGCTCTAGAGGCTAAAGTTAATATCCGATTGACTTTAAATTTATATACAGTGTTTAAGGCCATGAAACAAAGAAGCCTATTGATTTTCAGCAATTTCCGATAATTACTGCCAGAGTTATGGCCCTTGATCACTTCAAAAAATCTTGTGGACACTCTAGAGGCTAAAGTTAATATCTGATTGACTTTAAATTTATACACAGTGTTTAAGGTCATGAGACGAAGAAGCCTATTGATTTCCAGCGATTTCCGATAATTACTGCCAGAGTTATGGCCCTTGATCACTTCAAAAAATCTTGTGGACGCTCTAAAGGCCAAAGTTAATATCCGATTGACTTTAAATTTATACACAGTGTTTAAGGTCATGAGACGAAAAAGCCTATTGATTTTCAGCGATATCCGATAATTACTGCCAGAGTTATGGCCGTTGATCACTTCAAAAAATCTTGTGGATGCTCTACAGGCCAAAGTTAATATCCAATTGACTTGATATTTATACACAGTGTTTAAGGTCATGAGACGAAGAAGCCTATTGATTTCCAGCCATTTCCGATAATTACTGCCAGAGTTATGGCCCTTGATCACTTTAAAAATTCTTGTGGACGCTCTACAGGTCAAAGTTAATATCCGATTGACTTTAAATTTATACACAGTGTTTAAGGTCATGAGACGATGAAGCCTATTGATTTTCAGTGATTTCAGATAATTACTGCCAGAGTTATGGCCCTTGATCACTTTGAAAAATCTTGTGGACGCTCTAGAGGCTAAAGTTAATATCCGATTGACTTTAAATTTATACACAGTGTTTAAGGTCATAAGACAAAGACTTCTATTCATTTTCAGCGATTTTCAATAATTACTGCCAGAGTTATGGCCCTTGATCACTTCAAAAAATCTTGTGGACGCTCTAAAGGCCAAAGTTAATATCCGATTGACTTTAAATTTATACACAGTGTTTAAGGTCATGAGACGAAGAAGCCTATTGGTTTTCAGCGATTTCCGATAATTACTGCCAGAGTTGACTTCAGATTGATACACAGAGTTTAAGAGCTTGAGACGAACAAGTATGTTGATTTTCAATGAATTTTTATGACTTGAACAGCTAAATCCATGATATTAAAAGTTTTGTATACTAAACGTTAGCATGGGGCAGAACTTTATAAAAACCAAACAAATTCTAATGGTTTTCTGATAATTACTTCATGAGTTGTTACTCTTAATCAGATTTTAGTGTATTATAAATGTTTCATTACCGAAAGAAGTAAAAATATGCGACAACACTTGTTGACTGCCCGGACGATTTAGCTGCTGTGGGCGTATGTTTCGTTGCCTGGCAACCTATCTTTATCTGATTTAAAAAAATGTTTAAATTTATCACTGTTACACCATAATGACAGTGAGTTCGAATTTCATGAAAATCAGACTGAAACTGCCCGACAAAATGGCCACTTCCCGTACGCAAATAGATTGTGGACCCTGTAGAGGTCACATTTTTTTTTACCCGATTTCAATGAAACTTATGTTTATATCCCAAAGATCTGGATTATTACCCCTGATTTTATGTAAAAATGCTTTTTTTTAGCTTGTTCTCTATCCATCTCTTAGAAAATGTGGGCGTATCTTCGGTGGCAACCACTGCTTTTAAGTAAATATTGCTTTACTTCAAGATGGATAAAAAGGCATTTGGAATTTATACATAGACTCTCATCACTCCCTAACTTTGTTCCAAACATCCAACCTAGTTTTCACTTGTATGAATTTGAATTTTAAAAGTCTGTCATATAAAAACAATGATTTTACATAAATATCTGTAAAATATTTGACATTCTTATTTTGTACAAATTTAATGTTATTGTTAGTTATGGCTAATTATGTCATTGAATTTCTGCAGGGAGCAATTTTCTAACATATTCTCTTAATGTCAGCAATTATTTTCTGTCGATATTGTTACATTGAAGTTACCCTTACTACATGGCTGAATTTGTATGAATTGTTGACTTGGTGTACAACATACAAAATATGGATATGAGCTAAATTTTTTAGCACTTATTATGTATATGTAGATAAAATCCAAGATCCTGAATTTGTGTTCCCCATTCCAATAACTAAATAAAAAAATACAACGCCATCTTATCAGTGTGGAAATATCATTTATTGAATGAACATGAATCTATATAATGATGTGGAAATTATAGATGAACACATATTATGCATAAATTGTCAATAACAAAAAATTATTTAAAATATCAAATGGGATGAAATCACAATCCGGCATATCTGGCCCAATGATTATTTCCTATATAGATTAAAAAAAATTCACAAATTCTTTTTACAATGATAAACCCCTCCTTTCTCTTGACATTCTACTAACAACAGAGAAGAGTGAAAATTTGGCACTGACACAATTATTTGTGTAACTTAATATGAATGTGAAGAGTCTATCAGTTAACATGATCTATAAAGACAACTTGTTACTGTTGAATTCTTGTTTTACTTCTGTATGTTAATTACTAACATAATACATCTATAATTAGATGGTAGTCCTAGATTTTACATAATTACATAGGACTGCAACAGTTGACGGTTAGAATATCTATCTGAGTTACAGAAGCACTGGGCACTAGTCTCCCAACAATTCTTTCTCTACATGTTGTCTTTAGAACGAAGGAAGAAACATGGTCGTCAACCCCAGTCGAGTAAGTAATTCTATACACAGTCTGTTTTTTGTTCATACTTCTTCTCTAGTTTCTCAGTGTGACGTCTCTCTATTTTTTTTCTCTCTATAAATTTATCGTTTTTTTTAACCTAATTTTTGGTTTTCAAAGAGCTTTAGCATCTGTTTTGAAGAGACATGTAACACTAGACATGTTAGAAATATTCTATTTAGTTTTCTGCAGGCTAATAATGTCTGCAATTCCACTGAATTGTTATAAATAAGCATTTGGGAAGGAACTATAAGCTTGTTCAGTAATACAGGGAAATATCAAGTACTGTTTCTAGCATTTACATGTTGCAAGATATACATGGATAATAGATAATTTGCTGCAAGAATATATATACATATGTAACACTTTTATCACTAACAAAATACGATTAAATTAGCCCACATGTTCTGAATTTGAGTGCGCTTGTAAGAGTAAACATTCTGATGAGGGCACACTCTAATTTCAGCATGGTTACAAAATTTGGAATATTGTCGTCACCCTGTTGGGCGATCTTTCCGTCGTCCACAATTTCTTGTGAAGACTCGACAGACAGACTACATTTCTTATCCAATCTTTTTAAAATTATACATATGTTGTTTACATTAGTAATACAATGAAGTCTATTGAATTTTAACAATTTCGGGTAATTACTTATATGGCCCCTATTTCACTTTGTGGTACCTTGTGAACACTCTTAATAACAAAAGTTATCATCTGATCTGTATGAAATTTATATGCATGTATATCAATTATGGTAGCAAAACAAAGAAGTATATTGTATTTCAACATATTCTGTTAATTGCCTCTTAGAGTTATGGCCCTTATTTCACTTTGTGGAACCATGTGAACTCGCTAACGATCTGTATGAAATTTATATGCATTATTTAATTTGTGAAATGTAATGAAATGGGGTTTAACGTCCTACTGTTCTGCTCCGAACTGGGCTAATGGATACGGGCATATGCCGTACAGTTTGCTATAATGAAGGAATTTTTGCCCGGACAGGGCCACTACGGCTTACTCTTATATCGAATTCCAACTGTCAAGGGATCTTTTACCTGCATGCCAATGTGTACACGGACCTCGGTTTTTATCCCTCCGTCCTGCATCTCTGACAAGGGGTAACCATGCCAGAAAATCTGAATGAACTTTCTCGACCAATGCAGGGATCGAATTTAATTTGTGAAACAAAGAAGTTATTGCATTTCCGAAATGATATTTTTGATGTGGACTGTGATATACCCGGTCGCTTTGTTTCATTGTCAACTGTTTGCTAAATGGAGTGTTGCAGGCACTACATTAGTTGAGCATGTAACATCTGTGCTTTGGTATTGTTGCAACAAAAAGTGTGAACAATAAAAGAGATGATGAAATTTTAAAAACTTGCGATGTAAAATTTAACTATATTCCATATTGATTACCAGTATTCTTTGTACCAGTTTGAAAAACAAGTTTGACTTTTCTAGACTAGAACAACACTGTGGCGGACAAGGACAGCTGTGCACATAAAAGATCCCTTGACAGTTGGATATAAGAGTAGGCCGTAGTGCCACTGTCCGGGCAAAATTTCCCTCATAGCAGACTGTATGGCGTATGCCGTCTTCATTAGCCCAGTTTGGAACAGAACAGTAGGACATTAAACCCCATTTCATTTCAGCTAGCTTTGTAAAGTTGCTGTCATGAATGGTAGGGGAGAAGAGAACGTGAGTGTAGGTCAAAAATATAAAGCATTATTTTAGAAATGTTGCTTTTAAACTAAATAATGTATGCAGAAAGAATAGGAGGGGGAATTTGAGATGTGTCAAATCTGTCATTTGGGCGTTAACAGCAAACTTTATTTTCCTTTTAAATATATTGAATATCAGATTTGTGTATAGAATTAGAACTAGAAGTCCCTGTCTGGAATTCAGCAGTAATTACATGAAAATGGAGAATGAAATAACCATAGCTCAATATTTTTTATGCTTATGTTATCATACATGTCGTCTGATTGTCTGGCTTCCATACACACAGCTTCAATCAAAACTACTGTATTTACTATTTTGTGATAATTCTGTAACTGGTTCCAGAAACAAATTTGTTCTTGGAATATTCAGACTATTCAATTGCATTATGATAGTACTATTTCATGACACATAATAATTGCTGGTATATCTTTGGTATTGATTTGTTATATTAATCTTGATAGCCTTGATTGTATGAATTCGTCCATACTGTACATGCATATAACTTAAAACCATCCATAATATCTAAGAAGAGATATATTTTCCAATCGATCGTTAGGATAACAACTGTTATAAGATGAAAATAAAAAAGTTAGATAATTTTGATTACTTGCATTTATTGATATAGCTAGGATTACATGTATATAAAAGAAAGAATACCAGATTTAAGGGGTGGGGGGGTGTGTCAAGGATAAAAAAGTGCACATGCTCTCCTTAGATCTGCATTTACATGTAGCTGGCTGGGAATAGATGTTACGGTGCAGCTCTGTGTGATTTAATGTTTTATGTGAATGGTATTTAAGGAAAGAGCTGTGGTTTGGATTATCTGTGTTTTTGTCATTATATTTAGAATAACTGTACACTGTTACTGTGTGGTTTCTGACATGTTTAACATATGGTCTATTAGGTATTGTTTGTAGTATAAAGATGAACTGATTATGTTGATCTACTAAGTTCTGTAACTAAAATTATGATATTGCCACTCTAGAGATGTATTAAGTTAGATTAATGACATATTACGACATTCTATAGACTAACTGGAGGCTCTTCTATCTTATCTTGGAATCTGTTTTTGAACTGTCCCACAATTGACCTACATAATACTAGCATCTGATATCTGATAACACTGCTCATATCATTGTAAAACAAATTTTTGACTGTTTTGGTACTTTTACATGTATAATTGCCCATCAGTTTATAGTCCTTTTTTTATTAAAGATAAGCTTAAAGTAGCTATGTCTCTAACTCAATATCATCCAAAATCTTCGACATTGAAAACACAATTTTTTTGTCGCTTTAAATCAACATTGATGTTGTGATCTTACCGGGAAAAGATGGGCTTCTGATATCCAATATTTAAGACAAAATAAACATTTTACAATTGGTACACGAATCGTGTACCATAATGCGTTTCAGCGCTATTTGTAATCAGGGACTCGAAAAACAAGGCTAGGCATTTTCCACAAGTCATGTCAAACGGTGACGTTATATTCTTATCTGGAGAGCATGCCCAATAAATACTATCGGCATAGACTGGAAAAACCAGACGATAGAGATTGAAATTCGATTGAGAATACTGGCGTATTTCGCCGAACCTAACTGATTAGAAATTACAGTAAAAACAGAAACAATTGAATGTAAATCAATTTATATACATTCATATTACATTATTGCATGCATTACGACCCATTTGTGTCAATTTCTAGGTCCCAAATATTAGTGACTTAGCTCCTTTAATCAATTATAAAAACTAAATACAACTATACTAGACATATTCCACCAAAATTCATTGAAATTGCAACAAGTCATCAATCAAGGATGTTAAAATATTCCCAGGTTTGGAGACCACTCAACCCACAAACATATTCCTTGTCACACACAGATAGATGTGGGATGAACTCATTCACTGATGGCAGACCCTATATTCTACAGCACACAACTCTACCCTAACCCTCACACACAAGCCTATTGATGTGAAGATATCAAATTGTCACCAATCTACTATGGTTCATTGTGTTAGAATTCAGAATATCATGAAGTTATTCCACGGCTTACATTCAAATTTATGGAACCCTTTCAAGGTCTAAGCTAAGCTCTTGATAGAATTGTTATGCTCACTGGATGGATATTGTTGTCACCTTCACCAGTGTGATTTTAGAACTAGCGCATGACTTTGTTGTTATAACTCTGTGAAATTGTTCATTAGCCAATAATAAGAAAGATTCCTGATCTTGGTAGTATTAAGGGGCCTGACAAGTGCCCACCATATTTATAAATATAAGTAATTTGAAAGAGAATTAATCTTCCAAGTCCCAGAAATGAGAAATGACTGGAGTAATGAATCTGATTTAAATTTTATTTTATTATTATGAATGACTTGTTCCTCAAGTACATTAAACAAATACTTTCTGTTATTGCAGACCCAATACCTTTGAATATTGTTGGAACTGATAGTGGCATCAATGGCAGTCAAGATATTGATGGTAAGTGCCTGACATAGTCTGAATTTGTTTCTGACAAAGTCTTTAACCAGTACCATATATCCAGTCTTAAAATTTACATCTAATTCTTTTAAATTGTTTTATTTGAGACTTGACAGTATTATTAAGCCTGTTAGTATTCTGACAAACGTCTTTACTTCAACCCCTTTTTACAAAACATAAATATTATACTATTATTAAGGATTATAAAGAATAAGGATTCCATATTTTTTCTGTCATATTTTACAGAAGAGAGAAAAGGAATATCATTTGTTGAATTACAAAAGAAAGAAGGATGTGGATTAGGATTAACTGTATCAGGTACATTGTAGTGTTTTAATTTAAATAATAATTTACTTGAATACAACTGAATCTACATATACCTTCAGAAATGTATTCTTTAAATCTTTAAATGTGAATTACATTTAAATATTTCAGTAGATACATTACTTCTATAGAATATTGTCCTATTCGGTGAACTGTGACAGTTTACATGTAGGATACTTATTGTATCTTCATACAGCTAGCTTGTTTATGAAGCAGAATGTTTACTGAGGGAGGGATCTACTGTTTGGTTGTTTTATGTCCAAGGTCATACCACATGTATTGACATTTGTACGCACATGTAAATTACATTTGATTTAAGTTTGTGTCTTTTCAATTTGGAAATAAAAGTTTATCAAATAGAATCTTGTACTCTTATATACCCTTGCCTTATGAATAAAAGGAATCACACTCCTTATTTATCAAATCCCTAACTATCTATGTCCAAATGGGGAGGGACTTTTTAGGAAAGAGAATTTTGACTTTTGCAAATTAAGAAGAGCTTTTTTCAAACTTACCAGTCAAATATAGAAAACAATGACTATTTCAATGGCATTTAGTAATTGAACTGGAAATATACAGGACACTATTTTATGGAATACCCTTTTTTAACTGAGCCACGGTTGACTAGGATTCTATAATCTTTTTCAAGTAAGTGGAAATATCACTCACTAATAAACAGTAGTACATCTCTTTTTCAAAATACTCAATATATATGTATAACTGAAATATTTATTTTAGAAATGGCCCGATTGATGATTTTAAATACCGTCCTAATCCTATGGTTTGAATTATTTTAGGTGGCACTGATAAGGGATGTTTAGCACAGGTTTCTAATTTACGACCAGGTGGAATAGCTCACAGGTATTATTTCAAGATTATTATTTTTAGATACAGTGTATATATCAAAGATGTATATTAAAGATGTATTATGTAAGAGCTAAATCTGCTTTGGAATGCAGGTCTTTTGGGGGGGGGGGGGCTTCAAATGTTATGTAAATTTTTAATTAAGCAGTTATTCACTCTCTAGACTATCAAATGGCTGTGATATTGAATGAAATAAAACACCTTTCCCATTGGATAATTTAACATTGAAATGAATAATCTAGACTTTGTTTATTATCATAGCAATAGCACATGTTGTTTACTATTGAGACTATATATTGTAAAACACTCAAACACTCATAACTTTGCTCAGAAAAATGTAATTTGACTGAAATTTTCAATATATTAATTTTTTATGATCTATTTTGAAACTATGATAGCAACAGTTCTTTATCGAAATCTCTAAGATATATTATTCTTCCCTTTGCTCATATTGCTGGCTTACTCTTAGATACTTTAAGAGGTTACTTTGAAATAAATATATGATATGCCATTCTGATGGCAGAATTAAATTTAGTTTAGAATCCTGAGCGATTTAAAACCATGAGAGAGCTTAACCAGCTCGAATATTTGACAGTATTGTCATAAGTTAGACTAGTTAGTTAGTAATATGTGCACATTATCCTACAGAGAGAGGACTGAATTTAAACCAACTTATCCACCAAAATATTTCTCGAAGATAATTAGGGAGAAGGCACATTAAAACTAGTTCATTTTCCTCACCTTTGCCAGTTTAAACTGGTTTGAATATGTCATATGCAAGACATTCCAGTAGACTTACTCTCAACAATGGTACAAAACTATGACAAATATAATAATAGGTATAAAATGGCGCAAAAATGAAAGCCGACTGATAAGATGCGATGTTGATAATTTTTATTTCTAGATCTGATGCTCTGGCTTTAGGAGATTATATTATATCAGTAAATGGTATTCGTACAGCTAATCTGAAACATGATGAAATTATTAACCTTTTAAAAAATGCTGAGGAAATGCTTATATTGGAGATTGAATATGAACTACCTGAGTCTGGTAAGTAAGCATCCATATTGAAAATGTTTGGGACACATGGGCAGCCCAGTTATATAGCGCTGTACTGTAGATTTTTAGTTATGGGCTGTTTGCCTATTAATGTTGGAATTGGTTACCAAATGGTAGCAAACCTTTAGAAAATAAAAATTACAGACAGGTGAATGAACCAAAAGAGACAAAACCGAAAGGTCCATCCTGTTTTTCTGGTAAAAAACTAAGAAAATACAGATCAGATTGATTTCTCCTGTCGAACAAGGCCGATCACTATATTTTAATGTGGGCTGATATAGTAAGTCCTCACAAAATACTTGGTAATATACTTTGTGTAAAGTTGAAAGTTATTACTGAGTGATTGTTATTACTATTTCAGCATTAAATTCATTTTCTGTACATAGTAAATGTCAGGATGTGACTTTACCTAAAGAAGGAACAGGATTTGGATTTTTATTACGTGGTGGTATGTTTATAGATACAATGAAAGCTCATCCATTAATTGTTACTAATATTAGACCTGGTGGACCTGCTGATCGGTAAGTTATACTCTATAGTTGGATTTCTTACATTTACATAGAAACAAAACATGTTTTCATATATTCGTAACCTAATGGTAAAACTGGAGGAACTATGAGTTTTTTTACTGTCGCATCTGTTGGTCATTTTCGGGAAGACCTCTGGATAAAGTTTGCGTTTCGTGGGATTTTGTGAATTCTATTTTCTAGAATTATTTTAGTTTTAACTATGAGATATCTGATTTAAATTTAATGCACTGCTTTTCAAAGTAGAGTTACAGACAAATTCAACTGAGATTCATGTTCAGTATCAACATCTTATAGATGTATGCATTCTAACATTTGTTTTTGACGATAGGGAACATAATATAGGGAACATGTATTGCTTTAGCAATACTCACTAAAAAATAATTCTTGTTTAATATATAATTACCATTACAATTTTATAGTCAAGTATGTTATTATATTCAGAGAAGGGTCTATAAAAGAAGGAGATCGTATAATAGCTATGAATGGTTATAGAGTTACACATCTTAGTTTAATGGAGACTATGACATTAATACATCAAGTAGAACAAGAAGCAACATTTAGTGTGGAATATGATGTCTCTGTTATGGGTATGTAAAATATTTAAAAACTTTCAGGTAAAAGTCTATTTAATCGAAATACATATTTACAGGTAGCTTCATATATCTAGTGACAGATGTCTTGCACCATGCAGGGTATACTGATTCCACTTAGCTTCTTTTGGAATTAAGAACCTTGGTTAATACTGTACAGTAAATGTTTGGAGGAGCAAATAATTTTCATAAAGACAGTAATATGTCAATGAAACTTATATGTTACTGCACAATAAATTTATGCAATTTATAGAAGAGTGTATAAAGGTATATATTTGAAATAACTTTTACATTAACAGAAGCTGTACAAAATGCTAATGGACCACTATTAGTAGAAATAGATAAAAGTCCTGGTTCATCATTAGGTATAAATCTGTCTCAGAGTTCTCATATGGGCAGACGATGTGTTTGTGTGGATTGTATTCATTCAATGAGTGTAGCTGATAGGTTCGTATAATTAATTAAGGTTATCCCCTGCCCACTTTTTCCGTGTTTTAATCACAGAGTGTATTGTATGTTTAAGTCTCTTGCTGTTCTCACAACCACTAGCCATTTGATCAATACCGTCACTTGAGTAGACAGCAAACTACCAGTTTGTATTACCCTTATATTTTTGTTCTCTGAGCACCTCAGAGATTCCAGTATGTTTCTGGTAAGATAGGGTGTCTACTTTCCAGATATATTCCAAAATTTTCATACTTTTATTGGTATTAACTACCCAATAAATACTTCGAGGGAGTCCATCTTTAATACACATCATAAACGATTGTTCTCACTATATGAATTTCAGAAGTGGTGCTCTTCATGAAGGTGACCATATTCTGTCAATAGATGGAGCTAGTGTTGAACATATGTCTGTAGCCGAGGCAACCCAGTTATTAAAGGCTGGTAATTCAGAACAAATCAGATTAGAAATTCTACCTGTATCACATTTACAACATCAAGCAAATCGTGAATATATGGCTAAAAATGGTGAGCTTTTAGAATAGTTTATTTTACCTTCCTTGGGTTAGGGTAAGCAAGGGATTTTTTAGCTTAATGGTAATATGATCATATGCACGGTAATGGATATTTGGTTGAATAGAATATTTTTTCAGGAAGATGTTTTTATGATTTTATTTTTTGCATTAGTTATATTTTTTTGTTGCTTTGCCTGTTCATTACAATATTTACAAAAGTGATATCTGGTAGAAGTTCAACACAATCTCTGCCTACAATTTACAGTAGACCTTATATACCTTGCCATCAATTTTAATTGTTGATGTAAAATATGTGATTTCATAAAGTTTAAATCTACAAAAAATGTAAGATATTCCTATACTGAATAAAATAGCCTCAGAAACCTAAAGCATCTTTGTTTTAATTTTTAGAGAAACACCCTCAAAATGTTACCAGAAATTGCTTTTGCTTAGGTTCATAATTCATACATATTCATGATAAAGCTTGTTTATTATCAGGATAACTTTTTTCAGCTCTATTACCTGCTTGTTCCACTGCTACACTTCCATCTATATCTCCCTCTTCTTCATCCTTTAATGGCTTTGGCTCTATGCCTGGGTTTGCCAGATCTTCTCTTAGTGTTGCCAACAACCAGTATGGTACCCTTTGTAGTGTTGTCAACAACAACAACCAATATGGTACCCTTAGCTCTAAAGGTTCTGGTAGAAGCAAGAGAAATTGGTTACGACCTGCTGATAGAAAACCATCATCGTGTAGTAAGTTTGTGGCATGCTGTATGTCTATGGTATATAATGTCATTATATCAACTATTATTTTATAATAGAAATCAGTTATCAGTTGTATTTTTTTCCAATTATTAAGATTTTTACATATTAGAGATGTTGCAAATTGATTTTCTGCATTTAGATTCAGTTTTTATACGCCCACGTTTTCATGTGGATGTATATTGTTGTCTCCCCTGTCCGTACGTCAGTACGTCCACAGGTCACATCGTTTATCCCATTTTGACGAAACTTGAAATTTAGGCTTATCTCCCAAAGATCTCTGTTCTTTTTGATATTGACATGTATCCGATCGTTACTTAATGGATTATGTACGAAAATCACATTTTTAGCATGTGGACACTATAGAGATAACATTTTTTATCCGATATTGATAAAACTTAAAATATGTGTTTATATCCCAAAGATCTGGGTTCCTTTCGATACTTGTGCATATCAAAGTGTAACTTTCTGGATTATGGCCTCTGATCGTTTTTTTCTTTTTGCTTGTTCTCTGTCCATCTCTTAAAAAATGTGGGTGTATCTTGCATGGCAACCACTTGTTGATTTATTTAAATGAATTTTGACTCAGTCATATATTTAATGGCACTAAAATAATGATAAATATAAGAAAAGGAAAAGAATTATAAAATCCATCCTTTTGGCCACAATAAAAAATATAACTGTAAGAATTGTTATGTAATTTATGTTTGCAGTGTCCATAGCATCTGCTGCGACATCTGTACTAGTCTCTAACAACCAGGTTTGCCATCCAGAATCAACAGAAATTGTATTATTTACGGATCATCATCGTGGTATTGGTCTACAATTAGATGGTGGTATATTCTCTACAGCTGTATTAACAGATCCTCCATTAGTAGCCATGATAGAACCAAACAGTCCAGCTGAAAAGTAAGATATATAAGTAATTATACCTTCATTTGAATGATTCTCTCAAATCCTAAATTATTTAATTAAAAGTTGATACAGTTCTCTATATAGCACTAGCAGAGTTACAGGTCTGCTTTGCATTTCTTTTGATTCCATTTATTTTTTATTCAGAATTATTTCAGGATTTATTAGATCTAAATATTACTGTTGTCAGTCAGTACGTCAGCTATTTGCTCAACCGGAGCTATATGATAAATTGTTAACATTTTTAAAGGAGACAAACTTTTATAATAAATTTAAATTGTATATATTTTATCATGTGTTACATTTTAAATATTTATATATGTAAAACTTGATATTTGTTTTTAAATTATACTTTCTGTGATATTTGTTTTTATTTACATATATAAATGTCTGTGATATTCTTTTCAATTTGTCTTGTTAAATTCACCATGTTTGGCGCAATATAGCCCGGTTGGAACTGACGTGCCATAAAACTTCATTTCATTTCATTTATTTCAGGTTAAACTGTGAGGCATACAATTGTAAGTTGCAGAATCAGCCTCATATAATTCAAGCATTGTTGGGATTTGTAGGGGACATTAATTTTTAAAACAGGATATAGGTGGGAGTTTGATTTAGCAGAGGCTTGGTTAGACTTCAAAATTTCAATAAATATAACCTATTTTTGTTTTCTTAATGTAAATATGTAAAATTTTATATATTATAGATGCGGTTTAATACAAGTTGGTGATAGATTGTTATCTGTTAATGGTATTCATGTAGCTGATAAAATATTAGATGAAGTCAATCAACTATTGCGTGATTGTCGTCCAAGATGTGTTCTAGAAATAGAATTTGATGTGACAGGTGTGTAATTCTTCTATGTTCACATATTTACTTTGAAATACACTGGATATATTTATTGACTGAAAAATGATTTTAAATATTCTCCTTTCAGAATCGGTAACAATGAGTTCTGGTACATATTGTGTCAAGATTCCGAAACCTGCTGGAGGACTTGGCATGACTATAAATGGTGAATCATTATAATTTTGCTATCCTTAAAAAAAATAAATTAAATGTATTATGTTTATTCCATCCGTTAAATACTTTGTTCGATCCCTGCATTGGCCGAGAAAGTTCATCCAGATTTTACGCCGTGGTTCCCTCCTTGTCAATGATGCTGTCTACACTTTGGCGTGCACGTAAAAGATCCCTTGGCAGGTGGAATTCGATATAAGAGTAGGCCGTAGTGCCGCCGTCCCTGAAAAATTTCCCTGATAGCTCTATGTATGGCGTATGTCCGTCTTCATTAGCCCAGTTCGGAGCAGACCTGTAGGACGTTAAACCCTATTTCATTTCAATTCTTTAAATACTTTAGAAATAACTCTGTTAATCTGTTAGATGTACTTAACTAATGAATATCTTTTTCAGCTCCATTGAGAAGAAAAATAGGAGATCCATTAATTATTACAAATGTTAAAAAGGCTAGTGTGGCATATAGGTAAGTTAGACATGTTTATTTTATTTTTTCTAGTTATGACTAGAAAGGGTATAAAAGCATATTTTCCAGTCTGTTTGCTTCTTTCTAGTTGTAAAGCCTATATCCTGGTGTGTATGATGTGTATTTTATAGATACGTACTAGTGGTGGGTATTGCCACTGCAGTCAAGATAAGATACATATTGCGATTCAGGTGCTACAATGCTATTTGTATCACGATTCAGGTACTACGATTCGTTTCGTATCGTGATTCATAACCAGGTCAATATTTACCAGGAAAACAACAGGATAAATGAATAATTGATATTTTTAGTCCTGCTGATATTGAAGAAATAAAACTGTTTTATATCACAATATTGATGTGGATAAGGACCAAAACAAGTGAAGAGTGATTGAGTACCTATGATTCATTGTCTAGCGATTGAATACTCGAATTGTGAGAAGGTGAATCGCCATACATCAATTCAAAGATATATATTGTGCCAGCACTAATACATACTCATAAAGTATATTTTAAATACTTATACTCATACCCAAGGTACTCATGTCCAACCTCATAGGTTTTCTCCAGGGCCCTCTGGTTTTCTCCCACTGCTAAAGACCCCTACATGTACGTGAAAGCAAATTATTGAAATAAAATTGAACCATGTGTTAGTCCCGAAATTACCTAGTTTGTGTCGAGTGGACATTAAACCCCATTTGCACTCTCTTTCCAAGATGGTTATTCATGGTTGTGTATGTTTGATTTATTTTTCTGTATTTGTGCACTAAATCTTTTGTGTATTACTGGTATATTTTCTTGATATATATGTAATATATTAATGGCAATAACATTGTATGACATGTTACCTATATTTTCTACATATGCTTGATAAATACTCAAGATAAACATCCTATATGATATATTCTAAATGAGTATGGTATGCATTGTTATTTCTTCGCCTACTAAGATATATTTTCTTGATATCTATGTTTTGGTTTTTTATAGATCTGGCTCTGTACAACCAGGTGATCATTTATTGGCTATTAATGATATCAGGACAGAACATTGTTCAGTAGAAGATGCTGCCCATCTATTGCAGATGTCAGAAGATATAATCAAATTAAAAATCAAACGAGAAGATCCGTATACAGGTAGTTTAACTGTAACCTTTAGCTTTTATCATGCAATCACATTCTAGTTCAACTGTATAACCTTTAGATTTCATCATGCACTCATATTCTAGTTCAACTGTAACCTTTAGCTTTCATCATGCAGTCATTTTCTAGTGATGTAAATATATATAGTATCATGAATTTAAATAGAATAGAATATCTTGGAGTCACAGGAATTATGTAGGCATATGAACATCCTGCGTAGATGTATTTGAAAGATTTGTTTTCAGATTTGCAACTGTATCCAAATTAGGATCGTCCATCATGGAAGACATTGTATCCACAGATAACTGAGTCATGGAAAGCACAGACTCGTATTTAGTCTGTGGATGATATTTAATTATTTGATAGTTTTTTGTCTTTTCTTCAAAGTCTGGACTGAAATCAGATTTTCACTGAAATATTTCAAAATGATAGATATCACAAACCCATCGCAATTAGCAACCAAGGGAAGCTTCTGTCAGTCATACGAAACCATCCAAAAGCATGATTTAGACATTACCCACCACTGCACAAGTAAAATGAGTTTTCAATGAAATAATAATTTAATAATAAATTTATGGGCTGTAGACAGTCTTCTATAAAATATAGACAAATAATACTTTGTATATTTTATTGGAATTCAAGAATTTTGTAGTCAAAGACAGTGTTTGTGTTATAGTTGAAGGTAGTGCTGATAGTGTAACTTATACAGTAGAATTACAGAGATTTGGTGGACCATTAGGTATAACTATATCTGGTACAGAAGATCCCATGGATACAATATATATATCACATCTTATTGAAGGGGGATTAGCAGAAAGGTAAGCTTGTATACACAGTAATATTATTTTCCAAAACAAATTATTAAAAGAAACTAAGCATGACTCCATAGCTACCATACTCAGCAAATCTCAGGCATTTCTGTTTTAAATGTTGGTGTGGGGGGTAAAAATAAATGGTTTTTCAAAAGACAAACATGTTTGAAACTCAAAATTGTTAAAAAAAATAATTTTAATATGATATGTTTTGTGTCATCTCTTAACTGACAGGCCTGTGACAGGTGTCTTGTTAGCTAGATCTTAGATCTGGTCACTTTTATACTAAATTATACATATCTAGACAAAAAAGAATTCTCGTAAAAAGAAATCCATATTCCCTGAAATAAGATGTTAGATCAGGAACAGATGTTCAATATTTAAAGTAGCCAAGTCTCTAACTCAGGATCATCCAAAGTCTTCGACATTGAAGACACAAATCATTTGTCAATTTAAATCAACATTGGTGTTGTCATCGTATCGTGAAAAGATGGGCTTCTGATATCTAATATTTAAGACAAAATAAACATCTTACCATTGGTACTTGAATCGTGTACCATAATGCGTTTCAGCGCCATTTGTAATACGGGACTCGAAGAACGAGGCTAGACATATTCCACAAGTCATATCAAACGATGAGGCCATATTCTTATCTGGAGAGCATGCGCAATAAATACTATTACATTATTAATATGTGTTGCCTCTCATTTGTGTCAATTTCAAGGTACCAAATATTAGCGACCGAGTATGGGTGATTATATTTAAATTTTTGGTTACATTTAGATATATAGGTATTCCATTATGAAAAAAATAATTATTTGAGGATATTCATGGTAATAGATACATGGTAAAGTAATTGATTTTGTTTAATAGAACTGGTGCTATACGTGTAAAAGATCATTTACTGGCTATAAATGGTAAATCAACGAAATATAAGAGATTATCAGAAGCTATAGAAATGTTGCAGAATGCAGGAGATGTTGTTACACTTAAAATATCTCGTAAAATGACAGATAAAAGTAAGTGGAATATACTTTGATCTAAACTGCATCAGAGAATTTTTAAATAAGCCAGTTGCCTGTTGTAGGTTCCTCATTAATTGATTGTTTATTACTTCTTGTAATAAAATTGTTTTTTATTTTAAATTTCAGAAAATCATAGTAGAAACCATGGTGTAAGTTAAATCCATATTTTTTCACTTAATTATTTAAATATGTGGACAACAGCACAAATTTTAGGTTTACTTACAGTGTTGTGCCATAATGATAATCAAGTTCATTATGTTAACATATTGTTTTTAGAATAAATCGCTCTCAAATTTATACAATTATAGAATTTATACAATAAAGTTCTAAAGAACTTGAAAACTAATTTATGTGTTCTATTTTTATAGGGTAATAAAAGTGATTTAAGTAAACCACCTACTCCAAGTATGGATAGTGCTCTAGAATCATGGGATAGTTCAGGACCAGAAATGGGAAGTGGCAATATTGGCAATATTAATCAACCCAAGTTAAACTCGGCATCAAGACAAAAATTACCAGAAAAACGCAGAAAGTCAGGTAGGTTTTTATGGCTATATTTTCCCAATTTTTGTGGATTTTTGAACAACCAAAGCACCACATCAAATGTATACTTGAATTTATTAAACGAACAGGCCCCACCATTGTTTTGTTTTGTTTTATTTTGCTGGAAAGTTGATAGGTTCTTCCTTTTTTCTCTCCACGACAGATTATCGTCCATTTTCTGGTGAATCTAGTAATGATGCTGAAGGAAGTGGAGAGGGCTTGGCCGACTTACAGATGTCAGATGGTGAATGGGACAACCACTCAGACAGCAATCACAGTTTTTCTAGTAGTAACCAGGAAGAGGATTGGGTGGGAACATTTGAAGATTTCATGCATGGATCCGGTTCAGAAATGTTAAAACAAATAGGACTTAGTTTACGTGATCGTAGCACAGCAAGTTTAGATCGTAGATCTCGAGCTTCAGAGCCCAGCGACCGTTATTCTAGATCAAAAAGTGCTGGACGATTTGGACGTAGTGCTATATCCCATGACTCTCTAAGTCTTAGTAACCAAAACTCACGAATATCAAATCCAGTGTCTGGTGGGAAATCTATAAGTGAACATGTTCAGACAATATTTACACCTACCCCTATACAGTTACATCGTATAACTGTGGTTAAATCATATGCTACAGAAGATTTTGGATTTGGTTTATCAGATGGTATGTATGAGAAAGGTGTGTTTATTAGTGGTGTAAGGCCTGGTAGTGCTGCTTCTAAAGCTGGTTTAAAGGCTTTTGATAGAATCTTACAGGTTAGTTTATTTACAGTAATAATTGAAAAATCTTTTGAAGAAATCCGACACTTATCTTGATTTGTGAATTAAACAAAATTACTGCAAATTATTTAATAATCTTGCACAGAACGTTTGACTTGTAGTCTTAGGACAAGATAATCTGTAGTGTGGTTTTATTAAGATGTATTATGTTAAGCGCTAAATCTGCATATTGCAGGTCTTTCTTTAGGCCTTAAATGTTATATAGATTATTATTTAGACATTAATTCACATGCCAAAGCTATAATCAACTCTATAGACAATTGGATTGCAGATATTTAAATGGATTTGAACACCCGTGAGATTTAAAAATTTAAACATACATTATGGAAGAGCTAAATCTTTCTATTGCAGATCTTTCTTTAGGCCTGAAATGTTTTCTAAATTATTAATTAGACATTAATTAACTTATCCAGGCCATAATCAACTCTCGATGGCATCAGATTTCTCCGATATTAAAATGCATTAGAACATTTCAGCCATATTTTGATTTAAGCTAAAAATGGAGGAGCGAGACTTAGCTTCGAACAACCAGTACGGTGGTTAAAATTATTGTCCTGTCAAACCTTCAAAGGTTAATATCTTCGCTCGCAATAGAGTAATTTGAATAAACAACCTACACTAATCTTCAAACAGTTATAACTTCCCCAAAAATAAAGTAATTCAACGATGCATTATGTAAGAATTAGCTAAGTGCTGGCTGTTCTTGCTATAATAGTTAAAAAATAGATCATTTAAAATGAATCTATTGAAAATTCCTGTCAAATTACTTTATTCTGTGCAAAGTTATAAGTGTTTGAAGCTTTGAGTGTTTGAAGATCTGTTTATGGAGAAAAGTAAAATAGGACAAACCATGTGATTCAGATCTTATGGGTGTACAGATCTTATGGGTATATGGTGATTTAATTATTTATTACTGCTCTTATAATCTCACACTGATCAGCAGTGAATTTTCGCTAGGCCGCTACAATCACTGATAAGGATGACATCGATGCGACTTAATGAGTCCCAAATATTAACTTTTTTCTTCCGTCAAATTAAATTCTAAAACATTTTTTTCATTTATTAGAAAAATAAATAAAGACGTTTGAATTGTTTATAGGTACAAATCATTTCCTATTTAGTGTAAATGGGTATTAAAATAAGTAAAATTCACCATTTAGCCCGAATCAGTAATGTCTTATGTAAACAATGCATGCACTATTGAGCCAATGATTGACGCCGCGTGATGTGACGTCACGTGTCGAAACAGTCATCTGTAATAGATATTAAAAGATCTCTGTGAAACAGATTGTTATAATCTGTTCAGGTTTGTGGTCTAAGGGGAGATAATTCAAGTACAACAAAACTATATTGACTTACTCGGTGTAACTTTCTTTGCTAAATAAGAAAGGAAGGATGTATTTTAAAGATAAAACCAATGTTTAGATACAACAGAATTCTGCCATTAAAATGGTTTGGTATTTTGAATAAATAACAAAGTAATTATTTAATGGTATAGAGCTTTCCCCAGTACTAATAAAAAAAGAAGAAAAATATTGTCGGATCAAACCCAACCCCAATATTGAACAAATTTTTGACTAATGCAATAAAACATACTGAACACATTATTGACTAACTCAAAGAAGGTAGATTTTTTATTATTGTTGTTTATAATAAATGGTTTTATTATTAATGTTTTACCTTTGTATCTTTCAGGTGAACCGACATAAAACTAAAGATTATGACTGTAGTTTAACTGTACCTCTGATAGCAGAATCTGGTAATAAATTACACATGATTGTCTGTCGAAATCCTTTATTACGCCACCGTCCTACTGGTTGTCAAGATAAAAACTCTGTCGTCAAGGATGATCGTCTTTATATGAATGCCAAGGAAGATCGCCTTTATGTGAATGCCTATGATACAACAGGAGCCAGTGACACATCAAATAAAACAGTGTGATGGGAATGTGATTTGATTTTGTTTTCTGACTGCCATTGTTGATTTTCTTTTATTATTTACTAGTTGGGTAATATGACATTTTGTATTATTTCACACTGTTTAATTTATTGCCACCATACAATATCTGCCAAAATTTATTTTCACATTAAGTTTCATTCGTAGAATTTAGATTGCAATCTGCTTTGCCTTGTTTGATATTATTTTTTGTTGTTTTATACATTACATTTTTGATGCTTTATTGCTAAGTGATATGATTTACTGCTGATTAGCTTTCTATTCCATTTTGCGATTTTTTTTCAGTTTTTTTTCTTCGGTGATTCAGATTTATGATTGATTTAAAAATTGTATTCATAATTCTTATATTTGTGTAAATTGAATATTTTTGATACTAGTTTAAGATAATTTCAGCTTTTGTCATGGATAATAGTTATGTCTAGCAGACTCTAAATAATGCATTATTAGTTATAAAACAATATGTATATAGTGTGAATGAACTGTTAACCATTTGTGTCTTAGAAAAATTATAAAATACTCATTCAAGCTTAGCCTCTCACATTAAATTTTAAAATAGAGGATTTGGCTTATTACTGACAAAGAGTAAGGTCACCTGTCCAACATTGTGGTGGGTTTTCTCTGCTTTTCTTCCACTGCTAAAGACCTCTATGCGCAAGCAAATTATTGAAATAAAATAGAAACATGTTAGTCCCGAAATACAGTTTCTGTCATGTGGATGCGCTCTCGCTCGCTCTCTCTCTCTCTCTCCAGTGTGTAATGCCATCAGTCTAGTGATGGTGTGTTTATTTAAATTAATCTATATTGCCAACAAAATGACTACTTCAAGCAATAAATTTATTATATTACAGTTTTCAGAAGATAATTTGTATTGTTGCTCATTTGAGGATTTTTTTTTAAAACAACAGGCAAGGAAATAGTTACAATTTCATGCAAACATGTTTAGTAATCTTCTCACATTTCGAGAAAGATTTCTATAATTATTGGGAGAAGATTGCTTGTAAGATCTTACATGTACTTGCAAATGATATTTTGAGTTAAAAGTTAATTATGGAGATATAATTTTCAAGATGAATAAAATATTTTCTGCTACATACTTACGATCAAAGAAGATAAATGGATTTTGAACATATACACATGCCACATGAATCTAATTTATTGATCAATTATTTTAACTCATTATATATAGTACAGCAAATCATTGTGATATATTCTCAGTCAGTTAATGGTGATAACTTTGCTTTGTGTTCGTCCATGGTATTTTATGATAAATATGCAATTAAATATATTTAAAGTTGTTAAAATAATCCCTGCATATCAATAGGTTTCTTTAGATTTGTGGTATATAGTTAATAAACTAAATTTAGCTACCTCGTCTTGTAGATCATATAGTAATCTAATCATGTTACATAGTAGGCTGTGCATACATTCATTATATTATTATTTAATACCCATTTATACATTTAAACTATATGTATATATACCTATATCAAAGAAATTTTATTTTTAAATCTTGGCTGAACAAATACTCTTTAATCCCCAATGAAAAACAGAAAAAAAAACCCAACAAGAGATCATGAGTAATTATTATAGTTAGTATATATAGGGTATTGTACAATGTATTTACTGTTATGATTTTTATATCACTGGTCATCATGTTCTCTGTCTAGTTAACCCGTAGACAATAACTGAAGAGATTATCGGGAATATAAGTTATTGATGTGTTTTTCACGTGAAATTGTAGATATTTGTAAATTTTATGTAATTTATGTATTTTAAATTTGTATATTACTAGATGTTCTCTATTGACTAAGATGATAATATTATTATTTATATAGATATAAATTAACATTCATGCTATTATGTACTCTTGTTTGACTTATTTATCACCACACCATTTGTTGGATAGGTAATACAGGAATAGTGCAGCACAAAACACAGACATAACAAACAAAACAGGAATACAACAGACACAATAAAGAAATATTAAGATGGAAATGACTAGAGAATATATACTATTCAAAAAAAGTAGGGGATATTTGATTTTTAAGTGTTATTAAAGTCACCTAATGAAACTGACGAAGAAACAAATGACAAAATGAAATGAAGTTCACATTCATCGATTTATTCCAAATGATCGTTAGACTAAGTAAGGCACAGACTGACCATTATAAGGGTAAAATGATACCCGGGGTCAAACAGCAAAGTTACCACAGCATCACAACCAAGTCAGTAACGGGTAAATCCTCCTCTGTTTGCCAAACAAGCATTGATCCGACGTGGCATACTCCTAATGAGACGTCTAAGGTCATTTTGGTCCAGATTGTCCCATTCCTGTTGCAACGCAGCAGCAAGTTCTTGGACATTGGCAGGACGTTGTTGACGTTGACGTAACCTCTGTCCAAGCATGTCCCAGACATGCTCGATGGGGGAGAGGTCGGGACTCCGTGCTGGCCAAGGTAATGTGGTGATGTTCTGTTGTTGGAGGTAACCTGTAACGATCATGGCCCTGTGACATCTTGCGTTGTAATCCTGGAAGATGAAACGGCGGCCATGACGTCGTGCGAACGGCACAACATGGACTGCCAAGATGTTGTCCCGGTAGTACTGGCCTGTAACACGCCCTGCAACAACATGTAAAGCCGTTCTTCCAGCAACAGTGATGCCTCCCCACACCATAACAGAACCACCCCCAAATCGATCATGTCTGATGACGTTAACGTCTTGGAAGCGCTCGTTTCGACGACGCCACACCCTCCTACGTCTGTCCAAAAAATCAACAGTGAACCTTGACTCATCTGAAAACATCACATTGCTCCAGCGTCGATTATCCCAGTGTTGACGATCCCTACACCAACGACGTCTTGCCTGAATGTGATGATCTCTCAAACAAGGGATCACGCGAGGACGTCGGGCGCGAAGGTGACCCCTATGCAGTCGATTCCGAATCGTCTGGCCACTCACTCTCACACCAGTGTCTGTTTGAAGACGAGCGCTGATCTGATTTGCTGTGATGACACGATTTCTCAAGGCCAAGGTACGGATAAATCGATCCTGGGCTTGAGTTGTCGCCCTTGGTCGACCTGAGCGTGGTCTGTCCTGTACAGATTGTGTATCACGGTATCTGGACCATAGCCTGCTTATGACAGACTGAGAAACATTCATCGTCCGCGCCACAACCGCCTGTGTTGTGCCGATCTGTAGCATGCCAAGGGCACGTAACCTTTCATTTTGGGTAAGCCGACGCATATCAAAATTTGTTTTCTGGTCACTAAAACAATTAAACTGATGTTTCCACCCTGGAATTCAATGCCACAATGACTGTAACATTCAAAGTCAGAGTCGTGCAAATCTTGGGTTGGACCCCCATGATGATCCCAAGCATCACCTGCATTCCATGCGGTAGCTATTGGTGCGTTTGGGCGTCACATGTAACTGGAAATGTTTCTTCTGTTAGGTTCTATAGTGACTTTTTTCGTAGTCATTTGCATATTTTAGTATTATGCCCCCAAAATCAAATATCCCCTACTTTTTTTGAATAGTATATATCTTTAATCAAAATTCAGAAATGGGGTGTACAAATGAATATATTAAATTAGTAGCAGCGCCAGGATTTAGATTTCAATAATACATTCTTAAGGTCCGTTCATACTACATCCGTATCCCTATCTGTAAACATGTGCGTGAATACGTACTGGTATACTTTAGTTACTTTTAGAGAAAGGATTCAAATAGAATCCGGCACGTATTGCGCACAAAAACAGCTGCGTCCGTTAAGCTGGATTGATTGCTCCCAGAGCGTATTTTTGTAAAGTGCGTCCGGCATTTCGACTAGTGAGCCGAGCTTTAGCCAATCAGCGAGTACTTTCCCCTTATTACATCATCTCCCCAAATAGAAACTCAATCCATTCCAAGAAAAGCCCGGCCTTGTGTGCTGTGGATTTGTGTTGTCTTGTGAAGAACACAACATGGACAAGACAGAGGAAATATTGTCTGAATTTGTCCGGATTTTTAAAATACAATTCTTGCACGAGGTTGTGGTATTCTCCATATTTCTTTCTTCTTTGTAACAGTTCATGGACCCCTACTCTCTTTTTTCTCTTTCGTCTTTGGGTCCACAAATACAAAAGAAAGACTTCCTCTGTGTCACTGTCAGACTCCATGATTGCAAATGACAATATGTTATCTCTGACAGACAATTCAGCCTTGAAAGCCGGACGTTTTTGCGGTTTCTATTTGAACGGCAAAACGCGGATACGGATGCGGGTGTGGATACGTTTATGGATACGGATGTAATATGAACCGAGCTTAAAGGTCCGTTCATACTACATCCGTATCCGTATCTGTAAATATGTGCGTGAATACGTACTGGTATACTTTAGTCATTTTTAGAGAAAGGGTTCAAATAGAATCCGGCACGTATTGCGCACAAAAACAACTGCGTCCGTTAAGCCGGATTGATTGCTCCCAGAGCGTATTTTTGTAAAGTGCGTCCGGCATTTCGCCTAGTGAGCCGAGCTTTAGCCAATCAGCGAGTACTTTTCCCTTATTACATCATCTCCCCAAATAGAAACTCAATCCATTCCAAGAAAAGCCTGGCCTTGTGTGCTGTGGATTTGTGTAGTCTTGTGAAGAACACATGGACAAGACAGAGGAAATAATCATCCTTGTGGAGAGGAATCCCATACTATTATGACAAAACAGAAAACAATTTCTTCCTTCTTTGGAACAGTTCATGGACCCCTACTCTCTTTTTTCTCTTTCGTCTTTGGGTCCACAAATACAAAAGAATGACTTCCTCTGTGTCAATGTCAGACTCCATGATTGCAAATGACAATATGTTATCTCTGACAGACAATTCAGCCTTGAAATCAGGACGTTTTCGCGTTTTCTATTTGAACGGCAAAACGCGGATACGGGTGCGGGTAAGGATGCGGATACGTTTATGGATACGGATGTAGTATGAACCGTACGAGCTTTAAGGTCCGTTCATACTACATCCATATCCGTATCTGTAAATACGTGCGTGAATACGTACTGGTATATTTTAGTCATTTTTAGAGAAAGGGTTCAAATAGAATCCGGCACGTATTGCGCACAAAAACAACTGCTTCCGTTAAGCCGGATTGATTGCTCCCAGAGCGTATTTTTGTAAAATACGTCCGGCATTTCGGCTAGTAAGCCGAGCTTTAGCCAATCAACGAGTACTTTTCCCTTATTACATCATCTCCCCAAATAGAAACTCAATCTCTGACAGACAATTCAGTCTTGGAAGCCGGACGTTTTCGCGTTTTCTATTTGAACGGCAAAACGCGGATACGGATGCGGATACGTTTATGGATACGGATGTAGTATGAACCGAGCTTTATACAAAACTCCAAAGTAAAATGTCTTAAAGGGACAATAACACTCTTGCTGGCTTGACAGCTCCAATAAATAAATATTAGCCTTATTCTAAGTATTAGATGTTTAAGTGTCCTACCTGCTGTGTAAATTATCCATTACATCCTATTTTACTTGTCCAGAGGGGGTTCGAAAATATTTTTAAATCCAAGTCACATTTGGAAAGGTTTAGTTAGGCTTTTCAAATCATTTAGTTGAATTTTTTAAATTAGGTGTGTTAAGATGAAATTTGTATCATCAATTAATTGGAATACTGTAAAATAGTACGATTTGTTGACCAGAATAAAGATTGGGACATATTATTCATTTACAACAAGAGTGGTATTGAGCCTTTAAAGGGGACTTAACTCCAGTAAAATTCAACATTGCTTGACAGAAAGCAATACACATGTGGGTAGGGGGTGAAAAGGACACAGGTATGAGTTGTCAATGAATTTAAACAATTTTTAGAGCAAAATGCGCGCGAAATTATTTTTGCGGGCTTAGCTCACCAGACCCCAAAAGGATGCATCTACACGGGAAGCGGGTTTAAAATAATAAAACCATAGTCCTCGCAACTCCCAAACTGCCGTTTGGTTTGGTTTGGTACTCCCTGAGGTACCTACTACCCCAAATTTCCACAAAGAGTGCTCAAAGTCGCTTACGTTAAACAAAAGGTAAAAGCGTAAGTAACAAGCTTAATTAAAACCATCATACAAGTCAACTACTCTTTTACCGAATACCAACTGCCATCGCCAAGGTTATTTTTATACGCCCACATTTTCAAATACTATTGGCATCTAAATATTGCCATTTTAAGTTTGAAAAGGACTGAAATATCACATAGTCGTTGGATTTTTAGCAAATCACATAATTAATTATGAGGTAAGGTAAGGTTTCATCTTTATTTCAATGGGAATTGGTTTATTATATCGTAAGGTGCACTACACCTACACTTTGGGGACAGTTTGATTGTAAATTAAGGGAGTTATAGGCCAGAAACTTTTTTTTGTCATCAAATGATTACAAAACATTCCCAAATAAAGTCCTTTGAATAAACAACTGGTGTTGCTGGTGGTAAGACGCTCTTCGAAAAAAATAAACTGCCTGAATATCGGTTAATTCAACTAAGTACGATAGACACGAAAATTGTCATTCTTGCTATTTGGACTATTGCGCATCGATTGACGTCACAAGTTCAAGATGACTTATATGATGGCATAGCCAGTTCCAGGTCCATCGTGCGGTGGTACTTGTTGGAAAGGTAACACGGGCAGAACTGTCTATTATTCATTTTAAACTTTTTCCACGTTTAAAATGTTTACCATTGATTTAATAACCATTTGATATTTATGTTGGAGATATTGTTTTAGATTTCGTTTTCATGTCATTCTCATATAAAGGCGTAAAAGGGTGCAAATCAAGCTTATTAAATTCATTCAGCCTTTTCATATTTTTAAATATTTATTCGTAACCTTTATAAACTTTTGCTTTTATTTGAAAGATACATGATATCCAATCAAAGCAATTATACATATACACAGATACATTCATACATATGCTATTAAGTATTTTGGATTTTTCCCTTCTATTTTGACATTGTTTATTTTGTCTCATTAATTCATTCAGTCGCCGATGCATAATTCTGAGACCGACTGCACTTATTTTGAGAACGCCGCCACCCCACCCATATTTTTGCCCTTGGACATAAGCAATCTGTTTGACAGAGGATTATGAAAGTCTTCTAAAGTTGACTACCTTCAACATGTGACGTCTCATCACGCGGCGTCAATCATTGGCTCAATGGCGCTACTGGTTCGGGCAGAATCGAGTCTTTTACTCATTTTAATACCCATTTACACTAAATAAGAAATAATTTCTACCTACAAATACGTCAAACGTCTTCACTTATTTTTCTAATACATCCCAAAAAATTTTTTTAGATTTTAACTTGTCGGAAGAAAAAAGTTTATATTTGTGGCTCATTAAGTCGCATCGGTGTCATCCTTATCTGTGATTGTAGTGGCTTAGCGAATATTCACTGCTGATTAGTGTGGGACATGAGGTTTAAAAAAAGTATAGAATTAAAATGCATTCACCATTTTCATGAATTATGTATTAGTGAAATGAAATGAAATGGGGTTTAACGTCCTACTGTGTACGTTCTGCCCCCGACTTTGTTAATGAAGACAGGCAGTGTGCTATGAAGGAAATTTGGTCCGGACAGCGGCACTACGGCCTACTCTTATATCGAATACCAACTGCCATCTTTAACGTGTACGCATATGTGTACACGGGACGTCGGTTTTTGTCCTATCGGAACAACTAAACTTTGTCCTTTGTCAGGCTATCTGTCTTGCACCACTGACAAGGGGGAACCCCGCCGGACAATCCCGGTGAATTTTCTCGACCAACCCCCAGGTTAGCGAGGCAACTTCTTACTCGCTGAGTCACTATTTATTAGTAGCTTTCATAAAATTATAGCATTAGGGTTAGGAAGACAACCTATGTCAACATTAGATTATAAACCGATTCTTTTTCGAGATTTTTAAGCTTTTTAAATAGATGTTGTCTCAAAAGCACAGCAATTTAGTATAGGGCCTAGCATAAATGCATACGATCAAATAGGTAACAGAGATTAGCGCGTACCGTTATCGAGTGACATTTTAGTTTGCTTGTTATTTGCCCATAAAAGAGTGTAATATAATTGGAGATTGCTGCGATACATAAGTGTAATAATATGAATATGATATCATCCTGTCCTAAAAAGCTCCCTGTTAGGCTACATGCATATTATTAACGTAATTAATTTGGTTTCAAATTATGATTCTTATTTCATAATTATAGAACGTGTTGCAGACGCATCTGCCACCATCAGATAGCGTAAATAAAATGTCATCTAGATTTCACTTGTCGAATCATCAGATATATCAGACGCAGTTTTCAATTCTTGTTTACATAATCAATACATGTATTTGGGCAATTCTCTGCATATTTGGGCATATTGAACCAATCAAATATCACTCATCCAAGAATATCCGGGATCTCCACCTAACTAACATGGACAAACTGAAATTTAAAAATCCGACTGTGGCGAATGCCGACATATGCATTTTGCAAGAACTCAGTTGTGCAGACATTTTGATATTCATCACTTGATCGTCTGTATCATTATTATTATTTATAGTGCGCCCTTTCATATAACATGCCCAGGGGCACTTTATAAAGTGGTAATGTAGTCATAAATAAAGATTATGGATGTTATAACAGTTGTATACAGAGTCAATTAAAAGCCTGGGCCCTGTTTCTCGAAATGTTAACTAAAGATAAAATCCAAATTTTAGTCGATACTTCAAGCACTACACTCAATATAATATTATCCAATCAAATTAATAAAAAATGGCTTTTATCTTAGTAAAAATTTCGTGAAACAGGCCCCTGGTTAAATAAATGTGTTTTAAGTTGTTTTTATCAGATTAAAGAGATGTACAACATCTTAAACTAAATGGTAGATTATTCCATAAAACATTTGCTTGAAAACTAAGATAGCTGGCCATAAGAGACTAGCTGAACAGTTTGCATGTTTGACTTTTCTTACACTTAAAGATGACTTAGAAAATAGTGCTACACCTCCCGTGAACCTCTAGCACAATGTCGTATAGAATATCCATCGGGTACTAAAGCTGCGATTGTCGATGAAAAGCTAACAGCTCGCCATAAATGCAGATTAGCCAGAAAGTACAGAGCTCTAAATTATACGTTTTGGCGATAAAAACTCAAAATTGAAAAATATACAGATTCGACGATTGGCCAGAAACGTGACAAATTGTGCATTAGTCTTATGCTTGAATATGCAAAAGCTGTTATAACTTTTATGTCGAGATATACTTAACTATAGAGTTAATTATGTTTCGACTTTTTTAGATTAGTATCCACCATTTGATGACTGATGCTTTTCTTTAAAGATATCAAACGAAATTTAAAATCTTCATGTTGCGTTGCCGAGAAATAGCCGATTACCCACTTTTCATTGTTTTTTGCACATTATAGATTTTCATAAATAGTTTCATCAGTTGATGCCTTAAGACTTTACCGGAAGTGACACTGTTTTAATAAAACTGTATTTTTAGCATGAAATTTTAGTGAAGTGAGTAACTTTTTAAGATTTTCCCACTTCAATAAAGCTTTATGACGGATATACTCTGTACATTTTTAAATAGTTTTTTGTGCCAAGTGGTTAATTCTGTAATTCAATTTTCATATTTTGTTGACAACGAAAGTGATATTTTGTTTGCTGGATTATATGTAAAACATATTTTTAGGCATTAAATGGAATGGAGTTTAATGTTTTGTCATTTTGATACAAAGTCTAAGATATGGTTAATTTTTATTCCTATGATTAAGTCTGCAATGTGAAAGAGAACTTTTAGCCTACCCTTTTATATTGAAGTCAATGTGTGCACTGGTTCAACTCGGTTTTTCACCCCACCTAAAAACAGACAATCGTTTGCCAGGCCCGCGGACGCCATCTCAGACAAGTATGGGGACTTCCTTTAACAATCCCTGTGATTCTTCTCTGCCATTACGAAGATTCGAACACAGGACTAAAGACCACCTTTAAGCATTAAAACATTACGATTAAAAAAACATAAAAACCTCTTTAAAATAATGTCGCAGTAACACCCTAATTTTCTCTGTGAATTTTAATTCCAATCACGGATATAGATTTTTTTTTAAAGCAAAGTGTCGAAAACACGCAATTACGTTATCACTGGAATTGCGCCGTCACATTAATTATTTGACGTTTTTAGCCCCTGTTAAATGGTGTTATTAATTATATATTCTTTTCCTGCAAAATGTCAAACTGTCTTGATTATATTGTAATACCGGTTATTGTAAGTAAAATTATATTTACACACGGATGTAAAATGTTATGGACATATTTATCAGATGTTAAATATCAATATAAAAACCATGCACGATAACGATGATGGATATTATAAATAAAGAACCAGTAACAGTTCATAGAGCGTCATTATGAAACTACTGATTTTCTTTTCGTCATTAATAGCCATCTCCTTGGTAAGTATATATCATTATCTTATACTGAATTATAATGTGTAAATGTTGAAAGTAATGTTAATATTTGAACTTGTATTCTTTAAAAAGCAGAAAAACTAAAACTTGCACAGTATACTCTTAAAGCGGAAATTTCAAATTTTCAAGTTATATTTTTAAAATGTATTAAAATAAAGCCTTAAAATAGATGGTATCCATAAACACTCCTACCTTAAAGAATAATCCTATTAATCCTATAATTCGCTATTGCCACCTGAGAAATTGGCAAAAATATCATTTTTAATTTCAAATTCCAACGTTGGAAAATCGCTGCCCCATGTTGTCAATAGCAAAACAGGGGAGGTAATTGTGTTGTTATTTCCTGTGTCATAGATTTTTAAGGGTGGGAAATAATGCCCATGATCGTATAATAGTGAGTTGATAACCTATTGAGCAAAAGACATAGAAATAATTATGTTTTGACTTTCTTAGAAAATTTGAAATTCTCGCTTTAATACAGGACCAATTCACTGATACAAGTGTGTTTAAGTAGGAAAATTGGGAGAAATTGCACATTTACCTTGTCTGTAAGCGTCAGCTAAAAATTAAATTAAATTAATGTAAATTTATTTATATTTATTCACAGGCTACTTATCCTTATGACCACCTTGGTAAGTATGTTAATGTGGCATATTTTTGTATTCGCATTGTTGTCGTTTGTTTTAATTATGAGGCATTAGTTTAATGTTACTTTTTAACTTTTGACAGTTTCTAAAAACTATTTACTAACAGGAAAACGTTCCGTAACGATGTACCGTGTCTTTGCCCGTTTTGGAACACTTTACAGTCTCTTACACGCAATGAAACATTATAATCAGCTTTAGTCAGATATTTGCTTCGGAGCCAATAATCATTGTCATCATTTGATTTTTGCCGACAAAAGAGTTAACCAGTATTTGATTTTCATGGAAATGTCGACATTTGATGCCTGTAACCATTAGTCATTATTTCAAACAAATTTGTCAGCGTCACCGTAAGTGACGTATTTTTGACAAAAAAATTATCTTATTCAAATGAGCCTTGAATGGATAAAGCCAATACGATCGCAAAGTTATCAATAAATTGCTTCTAACTTGTTTCATTGTCGAGAAATAGCTAATGTTGTACGAGTTGCTTTTTAAAGGTTTTTTAAGGTTGTTATCTTGTCGTGAAATGATAGGCTTCTGATATCCAATATTTAAGACAAAATGAACATTTCAGAATTGGCACACGAATCGCGTGTCAATATGCTTTCAAGCGCCATTTGTAATGAAGCGACTCAATGGAATAACCAGACGCAAATTGAATGGCAATCTCTAGCGTCTGGTCATTCCAGTCTACACCAAAAGTATTTATTGCGCATGCTCCCTAGATACGAATATGGCGTCACCGTTTCACATGACTTGTGGAATATGTCTAGTCTCGTTATTCGATTTCCTTGTTACAAATGGCGCTAAAACGCATTATTGTACACGATTCGTGTACCAATGGTAAAATGTTTATTTTGTCTTAAATATTGGATATCAGAAGCCCATCTTTTCCCGGTAAGATCACATCAATGTTGATTTAAACTCACAAATAATTCGTGTTTTCAATGTCGAATGAGTTAGAGACTTAACTACTGTAATTAGTTGTTTCTGAACTCATTTTTCTGACCTCCACTCCGTAATCAGTGGCGGACACTGGATATTTGGTCTGAAAGGCTCTGGCGAGGTTGGTCTGCAACTGTTGGTAACCCTTATAAATGCATATATTTTAGGTGATATCTCTGGATTCCTGTTTTGACTGATACGTGGGACATTAAGCGTTTAATAACCCTCTATTTCATGGATTGTTGGCAATCTCAGAACAAATAACACACAACCTTCATACGGACACTGTTCTCTGGTTTATATAAATATGCGGAACCTATTTGATGGAACGAACCACGGAGCTCATATAAGGAAAAACGCAACACTAAAAAAAAAAATAATAATTCAAAATTGTTTCCGCATGGTAACTGCAATCATAAGGTGGAAACATCTATTTAATTGAAATGAAGACGAAATATTCATAGCAGGAAACCAGCATAGTGACTAGTGTGCACATAAAAACATTGGATAGTTCCTTGAGCACTTACAATTATGTTACAGATTGTGTACGAGGTCCACCGGGCCCACCAGGCCCACCAGGCCCACCGGGACAACTCCACCGTCCAGGTAAAATATATGTTTACTATCTAATATATAATTACTTACAGTTCACTAAATATATGTAAATATTTTAAATTCAGGCTTTGAAATGTAGTTAAACATCCTAATTGTGTACACCAACCATGGCTAACGAAGGCGGCATACGCCCTGTCGTTTGCTATGAGGAATTATTTGACGAATTCTCTGATGTGCACGCTAGCGTGTACAGGACACTCCAGTTTTTCGTCTCATCAGAACGACTAGATGCCGTTTCTTGTCCGTATCACAGGTTTTGATTGATAGGTTGAGCTGGAGTAGACCGATCGCAATCCACTCGTACTGAAAGATAAACAGACATGAAAGGGGTAAACATCTAAACAACAATAAATACAACAGAACGAAATTTGTTTAGGCTGTGGCATATGAAAATATATAAAAACTATTTTACAGGCTCTGAATCATGTATATATATTGGATCAAACGGGGATTGTTACAGACCAGACCCTATTGGTGTTATCAGTGAAGACGAATGCAAGGAAAGATTTGGAAATGATCAATACCAGATGTGGGTGGGCAAACAAGCATGGTTGGACTATATAAATTCTCATACCCGGTTTTATAACCGTAATAGAGGAAACCTCCCGGGTCCTAGGGGCCCTTCCGCTTAAATGTTTCTGGAACTGACAAAGAAAGTTCACAATTTTAATTAAAATAAAAGAAATTATTCGATAATACCTTCGTCTAACTTAGCATAAAACACAATTGGTGTGACACGACCGTGTCCTGCTGTGAGAAAACCCTGCGTCACTGCTCCAAATTCATAGACACATGAGACCGCGGGGCGGCGGGGTGGGGAGGGCTTGGTGGGCAGTGCCGGACAACTTCACAAATAATCGGTCATGCTCAATTTTAAAAAAAAAATGTGGACGTATGTTGTCGTCGCCCCTATCCGTCCGGACGTCTATCCGTCTGTCCGCCCGTCTGCAATTTGTTTGTGCACACTCTACAGGTCACGATTTTTATTCGATTTTGACGAAACTTGAAATATAGGTTTACCTCCCAAAGATATCGATTCTTTTATATATTGACATGTTTCGGATCGTAACGTCATGGATTATTGCCCCTGATTGTACGGAAAATCACGTTTTTAGCTTGTGGACAATCTAGAGGTCACACTTTCATGGATTATGGCCCCTGATTGTCCGAAAAATCATGTTTTTAGCTTGTGGACACTGTAACGTAGTAGGTGACTTCCATAAAACGGGAAATGAAATGAAATGAAATGGGGTTTAACGTCCTACTGTTTTGCTCCGAACTGGGCTAATGAAGACGGGCATACGCCATACAGTGTGCTATGAGGGAAATTTTGCCCGGACAGCGGCACTACGGCCTACTCTTATATCGAATTCCAACTGTCAAGGGATCTTTAACGTGCACGCCAATGTGTACACGGGACCTCGGTTTTTCGTCCCATCCGAACGACTAGACAGCTGTCCTTGTCAGCCCCTCCGTCCTGCATCACTGACAAGGGAGAACCACGCCGGAAAATCCATAAAACGGGAACAACGGTATAATCTGTATATGAATTTATTCAAACAGCAACAACATTAAAATCGACTAACAACTAAAAAAGCTCAACAATATGATGTGCATTCTTTCTATAACCAAAAATATCTCTCTATATGAAACTTTAATCTAATTTATATAAACAAAATGTCGCCACTGGTGACTTATACTAAATGAAAATATGTTAATTATAAGACAATACGTAAGGGTGTAGAAGGAGCTTAATTAAACATTAAATCCTTAAAACAACTATGCAATAAAACTTCTGTTTGTAAAGATTAAAACAATGAATACATATAATTATATTGAAACAAGCTTGGAGATTAGTGTCTGACTATAGGTATTACTGGTCTCAAGTTACAATGTATAATAATTCTGTTATAATAAAATGACAAGAACTATTTATGTATGAATATGCATAATACAAGAAAAATATGTCGTCCAAGCATAATGTTCAAATGCTTGGTTATAACACTCTAGAGGTCACAATTTTCATCTGTTTTGATGAAACTTGAAATGCATGTTTATAACCCAAAGATCTTGGTTCCTTTCGCTATTTACACATATCGGATCGTAACTTCCTGAATTGTGACCCTTGATTGTACGAAAAATCGCGTTTCTAGCTTGTGGTCCCTCTAGAGGTAACAATTTTTATCCGATTAAAAAACCCGTTTGAATATATCCTGTCGATATTCGCGCATATCGGATCGCAACTTTCTGAATTATGACCCTTGATTGTACGAAAACTCGCTTTTTGTTTAAGTTGACGAAGTGTAAAACCAGGACCCTGTAGTAGATACTTCAATTTTGATTGGCTAAGCACTAAAATCAATCTAATATTATCCAATCAAATTACTAAAATTTGGATTTTAACTTAGTTCAAATTTCGTGAAACAGGCCCCAGGAAGCCGTAACAAATGGTCCTAATCTCGCAAAGGCAAAAATTAATCAGTCACTTCTTAGCTTAGCCTTATTTTTATCTTACGACTTGCTTTGATATTGACTGATTATTTGGTGCCCCTTGCGCTGAACCTCATAGGGAAGTGAACCCACAATTGAACGAGACTGACTACTTGTCGCAGCTTCTCGGCTTAGCATGTTAAAGGAGCTAAATCGCTAACTTTTGGGACCTAGAAATTGACACAAATGGGTCGCAACGGATATAATAATGTAATATGAATGTATATAAACTGATTTACATTCAATCGTTTCCGTTTTTACTCATTTTCAAATCAATTATGTTCGGCGAAATATGCCAGAAGTCTCAATCGAATGGCAATCTCTAACGTCTGGTTATTCCAGTCTACACCGATAGTATTTATTACGCATGCTCTCCAGATAAGAATATGGCGTCACCGTTTGACATGACTTGTGAAATATGTCTAGCCTCGTTCTTCGAGTCCCTTGTTACAAATGACGTTGAAACGCATTATGGTACACGATTCGTGTACTAATGGTAAAATGTTTATTTTGTCTTAAATATTGGATATCAGAAGCCCATCTTTTCCCGGTAAGATCACAACAACAATGTTGGTTTAAATTGACAGATAATTCGTGTTTTCAATGTTGAAGACTTTGGATGATATATAATTAGAGACTTAGCTACTTTAACCCAAGAAGGAGCTAAAGAGTACCCATCGGCTTCCATACGTATGCCTGTCTTCATCAGCCTGGTTGGTACATAAAACAGGAGCCATGGTGGCCCACTAACCAGGAGTCATGGGTTCAATCCTACCCAATGTTGGCCAAGAAAGTACCTCAGGATTTTCCAGCGTTGGTTCCGGTTTTCACTATAGTGCAAGATGGAGGGCCTGGCAAGGAACAGTGTCTTATATTCGGACAGGTCTGGAAACTGGTGTACACGTTGTCTTTCACGTAAAAGAATCCTTTGACAGAATTTGAAATAAGATTAGGCCATAGCGCTGCTGTTCAGCAAAAGTACCCCATAGCATACTATAATCTTGCGTATACCCGTCTTCATTACCCCAGGTGGTGCAGAAAAAAGGATGTTAAAACCCATTTCATAACTGGGTGCCACAGTGACTCACAAACCTTGCGGTCCCTTGTTCGATCAAGGTGTTGAGAAAGTTCATCTGTATTTTCCGACATGTTTCCCCCCTTGTCAGTGGTATAGGACAGAGGGCCTGGCAATGGACAACATATAGCTGTGAGATGATACCTGAGGACTCGGAGTAAAATACATGAGATTGGACTCCTTGTCATGTATAAGCGCACATGTTAAACCATTCAGCTCCCCACTCCCCCTCGGTTCAAAAGAAAGAAAAAGTCTAATTGTACACTAGATTTGGTCAGGCGCATAGGTCGGGGAACTGCTTATTTGGCAGAGGTCTATGGACTAGAGTGTTGAGCTCAGTTCATTTCTCTTCAATAGTCCAATCTAGTTTTTACACATTGCTAATGAGAGTGCGGTTATTAACAACTTAAGTGTTTTAAAAATAACAGTATTTATACAGACAAACACAAATTAAAACCATATAATGCAAAGTTCTTGTTGGATTCAGTTCCTCAAAAAAGGTGATGTGTCATTATTGTTTTCATCAGTAGATGAGGTTGGTAATTCATTCATCATATTTTTTTCTAGTAAAATAACCTTTCACTTTTAAATTATGTAATGGTAAATAAAATAACTGGATGGTCTGTAACTGTCAGTTCTAAAAGAAATTAAGGTGGATGTATCAATGAATAAAGAAATGGAATTTATTGTCCATAATCAAGGCCTTGGTGGGTTATATCAGGAAAAACACAAGTTTATATACATTCTATGGTTAGCTATGCAATGTGAGCGCTTGCCTATCAAGCTGTTAATCCCCTCCCTCTTATAGATATCTAACTCCCTCGAAATATCAATTAATGTGCACTGTGAGTTTTCACACAGAACTTGAAATTTATCAAAAGACAATTTACTGTTTACCTTGGCAAATCGCTTCTGGTCTTCTAACTGTAATCATTTCATGAAATACCGATCCTACTAATCATAACCTATTTTTGTATCTCTTCTGTTAGAAAATTAGGTGAAACACCTTATCCGTGATATTATTTTCAAATTCGTCGTACCGGTGCATGAACCTTATAATATGGTCGTAGATTCGCCATCATCTGGTATCATAGCCATAACCTTTTCATTTCTGACTGTTTTAAGCCACTCTTCAGCAATGGTTCTAAATTTGTCCTATCTGAATGTATTCAAGACTTAACCTTCAATAATTGGTTACATGCAGTGGCGGCCAGGTTGTCAGCTTGTCCAATGCCAAGTGGGCCCCTGAGAAAAATTATCAAAAAATATATAAATATTAGAAAAAAATTATAAACATGAGAATATTATAAAAGTTCTATTATTATCTACAATTCTATTACGTGGTTATGAAAATTACTACTCTTGTGTACAATATAAATCTTGAAATATCTCCAAATATCTTCGAAGAGGTAATATTCGGATTCCTCCCAATATTTATACGTAGCCTATTTACAGTATATGTAAATTGTAATTACTAAAGAAAACAAAGTCGGGGAAATTTTTAATTACACCTTTCTGTTTCCATTTATATATTTTTTGAAAATTTAATTTATTCGTTTTAGAATAAAATGGTGGGCCCCCTTTGTCTCCTGGCAACCAATATTTTCAGACCCAGTCCGCCACTGATTACATGTGAATAATAATACATGGGGGCTGCCATATTTATAGTATGAAGCGCCTCATTGGTCGAAACACGTCACATGACCATTTTAGTCAATACGGAACCTCTCAAAACAATCCATTTTGTTTGATTAGGCGGAAATATGGAAAACGAAATTTAAAAGCGGATTTTATCAAAACTGCGGGGTATTTCTCTAGAATTTTGATTTTGGGAATGAGAATGCTATAATTAACACATTTTTCATTAAAATGTTAAATTGCTGTTTGATGGAGCAAACGTGGCAAAATATTCAAGGTCAGCTACTGCCTGGCCTAATACAGCTGCATGCAACAATCTATATTTCGTTTCTTTTTTTTATACTTTTGATGGCACCCACAACATCAGGATCTGACCGGTTGTAGTTGTGGTCGCGTCAGGGGTCATACAAGCGACTTTTGACCCTATGACATCAGACAATTGATTAACAAATCACCGCACGCCAAGAACTCAGACCCGTTTCATTGGCTAATCAACCAGAACGCGGGTTATATAACAACTCCTACTGTCTGATTCATCGTAAATTTTAAACGGATTTCTTCGATTATGAACAAACTACTTAAGTTTGGTTATTATAAACTTACCTGTGTGTTTGTAATGAACTCCCGTTCGATAAAATCCATTGCACAACTAATTATCACAACGATGAGAACAATTTCTCTCTTGAAAAATTTGAAAATTTACTTGTAATTTCGACAGAGTCGATGTCAACAATGTCTTCGTGACGTAATGGTCGAATCCAATATACCTGTTGCGGGGGTTGGTTAACATTGAAAGATAGTTTGACAGCGCGATCATTTTGATCGTATATGGGTTTGGGCGACGAAAAATATCAATTGAAGGCAATTACATAGGAGATTTATATGGAAACCATTGATCGCCAGTCTATCAAATTTTCTTCACAATTAAAATATCACTGATTGCACGGATACTCGTAAAAATAAAGTCATGAATAAACTATAAATATCCTATCTTCTTTATGTTATAAATAATTTAACAAGGATCATGAAGCTTACCTCCGAATTCTCTGAGTGTATTTTTAATTTTATACGCATTCTTTCGATCGAATAATAACCGCTTCAGTAACATCTTTAAGCGTGTTGCGGCAGCCCTCAGCGTGTCTATTGCCGTATTGGGTGCCCGGGTGGGTATATAATGCTACTAAGCCCGTATGACCCCGTAAGAAGCGGAACATTAATTCTCGATTCGACAGTTTTGACCGAAGTGTGATAAAGCCCGTAAAACGAATGTATAGTTGTGTTTGTGCGGCATGCGTCTTCAAAAGTAAATAATCCCATCCGAGTCGCTAATCAAATAATTAGAACAAAATATTTCAAAAAGTAAAGCTATAAAATTTGCAGAGATTTTACTAGAATGTAAAAGACGGTAACTAAATACAGGAATGCGGGTAGTTATGTGTGCGAACGCTCAAACTCAATGCCAATTGTCGTAGGTATCCAGACCACTCGGACCAAAGACTACTCGGACTAAGACCAGTCGGACCAAAACAAGACCAGTCGGACCAATTAAATTATATTATAAGGCTAGACAATATGCTATTTATTTATTATTAAATCACAATACAAAGAAGCAAATAATTCTTACACGGAATTCTTATATTTAGAGTTGTTTGGTTCAATTTTGTGTACGGAAAATAAATCAACGATTAGTTTTAAAATTAATTAATAATGGTGCCAAAAAAAAATATCAATCTAATTTTTCTTTACTCTTGCAATGAGACTCGGTATGTCCAGACTTTTGACAGTTTCTACATATACGGGTATACTGTTCTTGTCTGATAGCCTAATTTTACTTTTTTCACATTCGCGGTATCCCCAGTGGTTTCATTCCGTTCTACCCCACTAACCGCTGGGTTACTATATATGGGGGGTGGGGGGTGGAGACACGTTTTCAAGTTATCCGCCCTTGATGCGTTAATATAAACAGCACATAATAATATGAAGACCGGACGTTTATATGCCCCTTTTTAAACGTGACTACAAGTGTGGTTCTCGATATTTTGCGATTTGGAATACAATTATCAATTTATTCAAACAACACGTTATTATTAGTTCGAGTAGTCATATTAAAACACACACAATTATCAATTTATTCAAATAACACTTTATTATTGGTTCGAGTAGTCATATTAAAATAAACACAATTATCAATTTATTAAAATAACACTTTATTATTGGTTCGAGTAATTATATTAAAACAAACGCAATTATCAATTTATTAAAACAACATTTTATTATTGGTCCGAGTGGTCTTTCTGTTGGGTCCGAATAGTCTTTTTGTATGGTCCGAGTAGTCTATTTGTTTGGGCTGAGAGGTCTATCAGTTGGTCCGACTGGTCTTGAACCGAGTGGTCTTTGGTCCGAGTGGTCATGGATTCTTGTCGTAATTGTACTTGAATTTCCTATGCTGTCACCCCTAATACGAAATGATATCTTCCGCAGAGTGACGTAACCATCTTCCATATTGGTATTTTTCTCTGGGAAAAGTTTGTGATATTTCAATTTTTCAAGAGAGAACTTGTTTTCATCGTTGTGATAATTAGTTGTACAATGGATTTTATCGAACGGGAGTTCATTACAAACACACAGGTAAGTTTATAATAACCAACGTTAAGTAGTTTGTTCATAATCGAAGAAATCCGTTTAAAATTTACGATGAATCAGACAGTAGTGTAGTAATGATAAGTAAAACAAATTTTGAACTATAAAAAAGACAAAACGAAATTGGATCTGTATTTTAATCTGATATAGATATGTAAAACGAAATTTTTAACTATAAAAAACGAAACGAAATAGGATCCGTGTTTTAATCAGGTTGGTTACAATCTGTCTGGGATTCAGTTGGATTTCGGTTGGTCCACTTTTTAGTTGCTGTACTCACAGGTCGGAACAGCAGTGTTTGCGCCCATCTAATTTTCTAAATTGTCTGGGTGAGGCCCCCCAGCCCCCCACACACCCGCCTTCGAGAGGTTTTTTTCGGCATGTTTTCGAGCTGCTGGTTTCTAAACAAGTAATTTTTTGGGGAATATCTGTTAAATTAGAGAAAGACTCTTGACACCGTTAATATTCTAATCTCCCTCTTTCTTACTAATGAGTGTGCGTAACGTTTAAAATGAAATAACGTCCTACTGTTTTGCTCCTACTGGACTAATGAAGGCTAATGCAGTGCGCTATGAGGGAAATGTTGCCCGGACAACGGCACTACTGCCCACTCTTATATCGAATTCCAACTTTCAAGGGATCTTTTACGTGCATGCCAACCGAACGACCAGACATCTGTCCTTGTCAGGCCCTCCGTCTTGCATCACTGACAAGTGGGAAACACGCTGGAAAATCTGAATGAACTTTCTCAGCCAATGCAGGGATCGAACACACGACCTCCAGACTAGCGAGCAAGCGTCTTACCCACTTAGCCACCGTGGCCCCGCTGGAACAAGAAATTGAATTTAGAAACACGTTAGACAACTCATCAATTGTTTTAAGAACCTTGTAAAAGTAAAATGAAACTACTGCTAATATCATGTTCTTGCCTAACCTGAGTGTTTCAAAAATATTATTTGTACTAAACCAAAACATGCCGCTCCTAACGGTATAGTTAATGATAAAGCAATTTAAAACATAAAACGAACGTAATTTTTAAAGCTGCTGTAATAACAAAAAAGCTAAATATTACTGCTATTCGAAATCGTCAACAATAGATTTTTATTTATGGCTGTAATAGTTGATAGATAATTTCACGTGCGATGGCCATTTATAGACTCATAGACTCTTGCGCTGAGTGTTATCGCTCTGCGTGACTAGCCAGAAATCACTTCGAGACAAGCCACTGAAGCGGGCACATTCGCCATGTGGCACACTAATTATGTACCTAGACCCTACCGCGAAAAGTTTTTTTCCAATCGCTGTTACAGTTTGCAACTAATAGAATGTGTTTACTATCATACGGTATGTACAGCATACATTTGATCGAAAAGCTCACTTAAATGATTCAGTTGGATTTATGCTTTGCATTCCGGGTTGTTGTTTTTAATTGATGTTTTATCGACTATATTCATTTTTAAGTTTTCCACAGGAAAACACATTATTACACTGAAGTAAAATTGTTGCGTTTTCCTCCAAGTCATCAATGGTCGCCATTGGTTAAAGCATTGTTAAACATTTTCTCGTTTTATTTTGACTAGTTGGTGTGTTTGTTTACACCTGAAAAGAAAGGCGAAGTGCTGATCGGTTTGTTTGTCATGTTAACTGTGTCGTAGTTGAACTACATGATGCTTGGCTAGGACATTATAACCAGTATGTAATACGTTATATTATGTTTTGTGGACTTGTAAACTTATATTTATGCCGTTTATACAAAGATTTCAAGACGTTGAAAAAGGATACATATAATCTGGATATATATAATCTGTTTTATAACGATATGTATTAGACACATTATGTTTTGTGTTTAAGCGGTATGTGTCCATTTGTTTTTTTGTATTACTGCTATAACAATACAAAAGTATGAGGAACCTTGCTTAAATATACGAACTCCTAAATGAGAAGTGGTGTCAGGTAGTCCAGAAAGAGTTAGCATAACCTACCCCGGATTGGGTACACTTATTGTTTAGAAATCATTTTAGACGTACAATAGTTAAAAGGCTTAGATGATAACAAGTTTGAGAGGTATGTTATAGATTCAAATATTTATTAAGATATTTATAATTCAAGAACACTTATACATAAATCTCTTCCTTTGTTTTATTGATTTTTCAAAAGCTTTCAACGCAATATGTCGAAAGAGCATGTTTTTCAAAATATGAAACATAATATAACTGACAATGTATCTTACATGTACGAAAACCCCCTTTACTCTGTTTTGTATACTAAATGGGTAAGACGCTGGCTCGCTATAGCCTGGAGGTCGGGTGTTCGATCCTGCATTGGCCGATAAAGTTCATCCAGAGTTTCAGGCGTAGTTCTCCCTTGTCAGTGATGCAGGGCGGAGGGCCGGACCAGGACAGCTGTCTAGTCGTTCGGATGGGACGAAAACCCGAGGTCCCATGTACTCATTGGCGTGCACGTAAAAGATCCCTTGACAGCTGAAATTCGATATAAGAGTAGACCGTAGTGCCGCTGTCCGGGCAAATTTTCCATCATAGCACACTGTATGGCGTATGCCCGTCTTCATTAGCCCAGTTTAGGAGAAGAACAGTAGGACGTTAAACCCCATTTCATCTCATTTCATTTATATGAAATTGTCTATTTATCACGTCGTGGTACGATTAACTGATAGATGCTTTTTTCCTTTGAAGTCACGCGGAACATGTACACAGGTAGAGTAGTTCACGGCTCAATAATTTGTCCCTATAAAAACTGTTCCGCTAATGTGCCTGTACCATCGAGGAGATTTTCTGGATATACGTCACAAATAGCTTTTAAACAAACAAGTGTATAGATAAAGCCGAATAAAAATACACCCATTATCGGCTTCGGCTTTCGTGGTTATTTTACAGCGAACGTCAACAAAAATTTCGATTGCACTCGTTGATTTAATTTTTGATTTTAGCGATTTAGGCGATTTTGGTACAGAGCTAGCTGTGATAGCCTCGTTTCTTTTCTAATAGAGCGGGAGCCCAGGGGGTTAACCTAGCTGAAAAGTGTACCAATTTTCTCCTATATGGTATCAATGCATGTATATGTGGTATCAACAGAATGTAAGTCTGCCGGGTTTCTGGTGGTGGGTGTGGTATTCCACGCCCAAAATGCCATTAGCTCAAAAGTGTGCCACATGAAAATCGTACAGCAGTGTACCGTACATCTTCAATTGTTACAAAAACACCCTAACAGACATTTCTAGTGGTGGGTTACCCCTGACAGAGCTATGTAATTGTCAGACATTTGTAGTGGTAGAGTATCCCTGACAAGAGTTTTCTAATTTCCAGATCGCCGCTAGGCTAGATTAGTTGAAATCTGTACCACCTAAAACAGCTTTGGAGTTGTTCAGTACCACTACAGGAATCGTGAATGACCACTGCCAGACAGTTTGTGCGGTGGGTTACCCCTAACAGACACGCCCAAAATGCCCCCCCCCACTACGATAGATTAAACGGCACTGTTCCCGTGTTCTAAAAAATTAATTTCTTAGGTGTTAAACAATCCACGAATCATGACATGCTATTATTTGAATTGGGTAGATATCCGTTACTACTACTGAAAACGACTTACTTAGATGTTGTTTTTAACTGGATTTGTAACCTTAAAAAGGAATTAGATTGTTTAGGATTGGGTTATAATAATGTGGCAAAATGTTGACAAACATTCAGTGTTCATTTTTAAACAGAGAATATTTGATATCTTTAAACAGTCTTGTTGTATAGCAATATCTGCCAGTCTCCTACAGGAATCTATTATCAACATGTTGTTTTAAATTTTACACTCCAACCCTATCTTTTAAAGCCTATAAAGCCTATATTATTAAAACATTTAACTCGTCTACACTTATCAGCCCATAAATTATATATAGAAACTGGTCGATATACTAAAGTGCCACATGATCAACGACTATGTACATTTTGTCAGCCTGAGGAACTGGAGGATGAATTTCACCACGTGTTAATTTTCCCGCCATTTGAGGATATACACATTAAGTTTATCAAGACGTATTATTACACTAGACCTAACGTTTTTAAATTCTTTCAGTTACTGAGTACCAGTAATATAAAAGACTTGTATAAACTAGGTTAATAATTGTCATATGCCGATAAACGTCGATCAGAATTGTTAAAAAATAATGGAATTAAAAAGGATGTAGAAAGCCTAAATGATTATAACCTAAATGATGTTTAGTATAATTAACTGTAATATTAAATTACTAATTTTGATGACATTATAGTAGATATATAATTTAAATTTCCACTCTCAACTTATTTACTTTGTTATAATATATATACTGTAGATTATGTAAATATTGTATTCATATGTATACTGATGAGTTTTATACTCAAAGTAAATAAAGAACTGAACTGAACTGAACATTACATTAATTACATCTCTTAATCAGTGGAACAGTTCAATGCTGATTAGTGTCAGGATTTTGGGGGTAATAAAATTTGTAGTCGAAATGGGGTGTAGTCGAAATGGGGTGTAGTCGAAATGGGAGTGAACCATTATTTTACCAAAATAATAGAAGTCTTGAAGCCGTATCCATGTCTGAAAAATCACGGTAGACAAGACATTATTCCACTATTAATTACGTGTATGTTTAATCCATTACCATAGCGCCGCTGTCCGGACAAAACTTCCCTCATACCACACTATGGCGTTAGCCCGTCGTCGTGATGCCTGTCCAATCTCGTGGGTTTTCTCCGGGTCCTCCGGTTCCCCCCACTGCTAAAGACCCCCCCGCGCAAGCGAATTATTGAAATAAAATTAAACCATATGTTAGTCCTGAAATGACCTAGTTTGAGTCAAGTGGACGTTAAACCACATTTCTCTCTCTCTCCGTCGTCGTTAACCCAGTCGGGGCAGAAAAGTAGAACGTTAAACGCCATTTCATTCCATCTTAATCCACTATTAATTTCATGTCAACTATAAAATGGCATAATAACCACTGAAGACAAAAATAACATCTTACAGTACCATTGATTTTGGTATATTATATAATTATATTATTTTAGAGAAACAATATACCCAGTCATTAAAACCACATGCATATGAAGGGGTCAATATCTTGCATAAATAATAACAGAATTAGTTCCATTGTTTCAAATGAATAGCTGTAGAAATCAAAATTATTGCTCCTTAAATAAACTCCATTTATGTAATTAATATATTACACAATTACTTTGTATACTACATTTCACGCAAATGGTTATTCATAAAGGTATTTTCCTTCAATGTGTCTTCATTTCTATTTCATGTAGCACTTAGCCGATCATGACTCACACTAGTATTATACAACGTTCGGGAAATATTCACCACAATATAAAAGGGACATTAAGATACGATAATAACAATAAACAAATCCAAGGCCCCATCGCACCAAACTCCCGACAATCAGACGCAGTGACAACGTGACTACGGAGAAATTGCCGTACTATGAACGAAATTGCCGTACTTCGATCGAGCATCAACTGGCAGTACGACCGGGTCAAGTAGTAGCTTGTTCGGCCATCAAATAACAGTACGCTCGGACCAGGTAGGGTATAAAAGTATTGGCTGTTGCCCCACTGGTTCATCAGTTGGCTCGAGATATCTTGCAGTGCAGTTTTGAACAGAACCATGGGGCCGTTAACGTTTTGAATATTATTGGTTTCACGCAACTTCTGATTTAAGCAAAGCAAGAGTACATTAAAATGGTTTGAAGAAGGAGAAGGTACGGATATTAAGAGGTACCAACGACCATCTACTAATATAGACCTGCATGTCTAGCGTCATAAGAGTTAGCTCTCAGCGGAAAGGAGTCAAAGGATTATTTCGTGACTAAGGGTTAGATATAAAAACAACGACCAGAGTACCCGAAAATTTTGCAAACAATTTTATGTTATTTACCAATTTTTATTAGCAAGATACCAACAATTGTCCTAAATCTTTACTGTCAATCGTTTGTAGGTAACGACTTCAATACACTGAACAACACAACATGAGTTATCCGACTTTAAGCTGAAACGTATAGTGTTCTTATTTGGGAAGTTTCCATACGGTTATGAGTTTTCTAGGTTTATTTGCTGATCTTAGTTTCTTGTTGGAAAAAATTACATTTAGAGGGTTTTAATTCCAGCCCATGTTGTCCCAACCTATCAAATACCAGCTTAATATGTTCATAATGTTCTCGCTTCCAAGGAGAATATATAAATTAGTATATCATCAATAAGGAGTAGGGTCGCCTGTCCAACCTCGTGGGTTTTCTCCGGGGCCTCCGGTTTCCTCCCACTGCTAAAGACCCCTACGCGCAAGCGAATTATGTAAATAAAATTAAACCATATGTTAGTCCCGAAATGACCTAGTTTGTGTCGAGTGGACGTTAAACCCCATTTCTCTCTCTCTATATCATCAATATATGCTATTCCAAAATTTTCGAGTGCCTTAAAGATACATTATGGGAGATTAGATAAAGAGCTGACAGTTCTCACTATAATACTTAAAAACTACATAATGTAAAGGGAATTGGTTGAAAATTTCAGTTAAATTGATCCACTCTGAACCGAGGATTTGGCAATTGAATTTTGGGCCTAGCCTCGATCATCATTACTGTACGATAGAATACAGTCTGGATTATCCATTTCTTGATTTAATCATTAATGAGCGTAGAGCAGCAGATCGGGTCCTAATCCAGTAAATATCGCAGTCTAGCGATGACAACGAGCGTTGATTATGGTCTGGATAAGCTAATTAATGTCTAATTAATAATTTATATAACATTTCAGGCCTAAAGAAAGACCTGCAATAGGCAGATTTAGCTCTTGCATAATGTATGTTTAAGAACGCGTGCCATTAAATGCGAGAAAATGCTTGACAATTATTAATTCCAAAATGGCATTACATTAAATTCAAACAAACGTCTATGGCATACAAACGCTGTCTTTTCCTTATTTTTTTCACCCACCAAAACTTGCCAATACCCTGATTTCATGTCCAGAGTTGTGAAGTATTCTGACATCTCCCTAACATGTCCTCAGTCACTG